AATAAACTTTGTCAAAGAGTCGAGTGATAGATAAAATGCTGGTGATTCGTCAGCATCACACTATGGATAAAATGAAAAAGAAACTTATCCAGATATTTTTTAAATATTTCAAGAAATTCTGGGTTAAAGCTTTTTTTCCATTATAATCATTATGTTTTTTAATATTATTTTTTTTTCCTTTTTATACATGCCTATAAGCATAAATTAAAAAAAGATAAAAAAATGAAAGCTTTTTTCCAGTTTTTGCAAAAAAACTATAAACTAGGCAAAAATGTTTATTTAAGGCTAATAAAATTCTAGCAAATGATAGGAGATAAGATGAAAAGAGCGATATGGGAAGATTGCTTATTTATGAATGCATTCACCATATCTATTCGGGCGATAATCGAATGAACAACTGCACGACGAAATTCGATGACAATTCATCAATCTAAAGTCTTTGATATAAACGCATCTCGCCATATATACTTTATTTCTTCCACACGAAAATAATCGTAGTTTTGTCTCTGTGCACGTATTTTCTGGTATTAAAACCTGGAAAAAATTTTATGAATTTTTATTAAAATTTTTAATATTGAAAGAATAATATTATAATTTTATAATTATAATTTTATAATATTGAAAGAATTTTTGTTAAAATATCATTAATTTTTATTTTACTGAGAACTATTCAATTCATAGGAAATTGTGTAATTTCATAAAATTCTGTCCTTAAAAATGATCAACAAATTTAACTAAAAATAAATTTGAAAAGAAATATCTAATGGAAAAAAAATGAAAATGCATGATAATAATAGTAATAATAATAATAATAATAATAATAATAATAATAATAATAATAATAATAATAATAATAATAATAATAATAATAATAATAATAATAATAATAATAATAATAATAATAATAATAATAAATAATAATGATAATAATAATAATGATAATAATAATAATGATAATAATAATAATAACAAAACAATGAAAAAAACAATATTAATAATTATGACTTATAGGAATATTACTGACTAATTTTTGCGCGATTAAATAAATACAACTGACTGAGCCAATTTGCCTTTGGTACATTTTATAGGATTCTAAAAAAACAACAGTTGAACCTAATAATGAATTTAAGAGCGACGAAGATTTATTTTATATTATTTTCATTAAACTGGGATAGGGATATGGGTTGTTGCTCAACTGGGAGCGCCAATGCTGAGGTTCGATTCCTCGCAAGAGTAAATCTGTACAACAATCCAGCTGATGCTAGCGACTCACCTGTATTTCTATCGCCAAAGGACTTTATGGTCTAATGCGATAAGCCAATGCAACGAGCTTAATGATAAGGATTTAAAAAAAAAAAAATTTCCTTAAATTGAAATGCAATGCTTGCTGTTTACTTGTTGATATTTGCTATCTTGCATTTTCAAATTTATATCCAATACGGATAGTAGCGAATTTTAAAAAAAAATTTTTTTTATTTTAACTATATCGTTGAAAATTATCAAATGAAATAAGCAACTATCGATAAAAAAATAAAAAAAAAATAAAAATCATAAAAAATCGACCTATTTAAAAATGCTAAGGAACAAAAAAAAAAATGATAGAATAACAAAATCGAATTATAATTATAATAAATTATAATAAAAACTAAATTATGATAAAAGAGATATTTATAAAAATTGTAATTTTATAAGATATAATTTGTAAAATTTACCAAAAGAATAATGAAGAAAGCGAACATAATCAAGGAATTCTCGAAAATTTTTATGACAAACTATTAAATGAACGTCTGAATTTATGAATATGAAATAAAATTTGGAGGTTGGGAGAGGGGGTGGGAAGGGGGGTTATAGGGGAGGGGTACAATGAAGATCTCATATGTTGCACCATTGTTTAGATAAAAAGATTATTGTAAATCGCTTATCATGCAAAAAAATTTCTTTTTATTTTTCAACGGTAAAAAGTAGGAAATAGTGAAAATAGGAAATAGGAAATAGAAAAAAATAGGAAAATTTTATGAATTCAGAATAGTAGCCTAAATCGTCGAACTAATATTAATCTATAGAAATTCTATATAAATATTGCAAGTATCATTCAATCATCATTTCTAATTTGGCTAGTACCATGAAGTACTAAAATTGAGTCCAAGCCTTTTACAAGCCAATCATTTTACAACTGAACGGTAAGCCTATGATATACGTTTAACGAAAACCTTTTTCAGGATGACAATTTTTTGTTAATAAATAATTTGAAATATTTTCATTATCAAATATTTTTTATAATTATAAAAATAGCTGAATTTGATATTCAATTGAATATTAAATCTGATTTGTAAATTAATATTAAAAATTAAGAATTCAAAATTATCATTCGTAAATGCCATAATTTTTTTGAATGTACGAATTCATCATCATATGATTAAAATTTTTCATGACGAAAATAAACGATCTGAAATTTTTACAAATTCCGATTTTTTCCAACTCTGATATATACATTTAGAAAGAGCTTTTCAGGATAATTTTATCGTTATCTCTATCTTATCATTTTATCAAATCTTCGAATATCCGAGTTAACTGCATTGGAATATAGTTGCAACGCAATGTTTTAATCATATGTGGTAATTTCAAGTCCAAGTCCAAGTGTGGCCAGTGGAATCTTAGAATTATGCCTCTTGGAACTCTTTATTTTTACATATATGCTACCATTTTCTTATTTATCTATCGAGAAGGAAGAAAAAAAAATAGATAAAAGTAGATGCATTTGACATGGTGATAGTCATGATTAAAACCAAATATAGTGGTTACTACCTTTTTTTTGATGAAAGAATATCTATCTAACGTCAAAATTGAACGAAATCCTGATAATGTAAGCAATATAGTCCATCTATATTTCTGTACAAAAGAGACCATATGGTGAATGGTGAATTGATCTTAGTTCTAATTAACCAGTGCAATCCTAGAAATAATGAACTGCTATAAGTTAATATTGCATAATTTCCATGAAAATTTCCAGAGTTGGAGGTGTGAATGGGCTCAGGGAAATATTAGAGGAATTTTTTTTTTTTAAGAGTCCTCACCATTATTCATTAAACTCACTCCACTTGGCTTGACGCATTGAGCAATATGATAAGAGGTCCCTTGGCGATAGAAATACAGGTGAGTCGCCAGCATCACCGGGATTTTTGTACAGGTTTACTCCTACGGGGAATCGAACCTCATCATCGGCGTTCCCAATTGAGCAACAACCCACTGAGCCATTCTATACCCTATTAGAAGAATACAAAGAGTTTTGAATTTAGTGATCATTAAATACAACCAACAAATCAAATAATTTATTCTTGTCTGCTACTCCAAATTAATACCAATTTTTGATGTCACCAGTCTGTATCAATCGATATTCCTATAATCAATCCAATTTCCACTGTCACTGGTGGAAGCAAATTAAAATCTCTTTTAATCTTGCTACTCCTCTGGAGCCCTCAATCTCCCAGACCTCTGGCAGAGGACTCCGAGGTTGAGGATGGCCTTTGCCACCTATAGGTGATTTTTTAATATATTGATTTGATTCTCCATAAATAAATAAAGATTTGTTTGCTTTAAAACGTAAATAACCACGAATTCAATTTGTAACATCGGTAAGAAAAGTTTTGGAAATGCCGAATTAGAATAAAAAGTATCATTTCGTAATAGTGCTGCAAGGGATTTTATTATTTAGCTATAAACTTTTAAATAATTGTGTCGTAATTCTTGAAACGATAAATTTCGATATGAAAAAATTGGCTTATTGCCAAAATTTTGCAAATTGTTAATTGGTGCTGTTTGGTTCCTGGTAACTCTTTTTTTTTATTATTTTGTTGTAGAATAGATCGATTTGAATTGTTACATCTATTTGACGTCATTAGGATAGCTAATATCTTAATTAATGTTAAAAATAACGTATAAAAGTACCACTCACCTTTCATTTCATTAAATAAGATTATTGCATGCATTATATTTTTTTAAAATCATAAATTTTTATTAAATTTCCATTTATTTCCGTTTTTTTTGTTTTTGATTTATTTATTTCATTTATTTTGCAATATTATTTTCATTTTTATTTTTCTTAGTTTTATTTATTTTTAGTAATATAATTTTGAAAATATATTAAATTTAAATATATTTAATTTAAATTTATTAAATTTAAAAAATTAATCAAATTGTCTTCATATAGATTATTGTTTCATTGTTTTATTGATTCGACTCACTACCGGATAAGCTAATCGGATGAAATTAATTTTGCCTATGAGTTGCTTGGCGATAAAAGTACCGAGAAATATATCGTCTCAGCGACAACTCCCTAGCATCTGTGCTTGCTTAGAAATAATAGCAACAGTATATTAGACCATTCGATTCTTTTTTTTTTTGAATACATTGTTGTGAATATCGAATATATTTTTATTTATACAAGCAAGTAAATTAAAAATAAATGGTTTGAATGAATAAAAAATAGTGTTTCCTTCCTTCTGTGAATCGATATGAAGTTCGACACTTCTTTTCTTTTACACTAATAATAGGGGAAAGAGGAAAAATTCGATTGCATGAACAGTTTCCTATATTGCCAATTTGTAATGTTTACTCACTGTGGTTAGTAAAATGCATTTTTAACGAATTCAGTAGCTTATTTTTTTATACTTAGAAGTACCACTTCATTTTCAATATATATTTTTCGATATAAACGCGTTAGTCGAATGCTGCGGTGAAACACTAGTTATTGAGTACTTTTTATCGACATTTATTAATATTATAGAAGTAAAAGTTGCAACTCCTCTATAATATTATTATAGGAATTTATAATCTGTACTGAAATAATCAACTAGCGCGGATCGGCTTACGAAGCAGATTCTTAGTATTTTCTTAGTATTTTCGTAATTATTTTTGCTTTCTAAAATCCCTTTTGGGAAAAATTCATTAATTTTGTATGCCCTTTATACGGGTTTTTTTTATAGGTGAAGTCGGTTCAAAGGATGGGATTTCGTGGGCGTTCAAATTATGCACAAATGAATCGTATGAATCGAGGTGGACCATCACGCTTTCTGTATGGTAGAATCATGAAAAATAGAAATTTTTTCCGAAACAGATCTTTTGAGGTTTCTTTAAAAAAACCAGCCATATATCCTTTAATAATGTTCCTTTTTTCTTTTTTCAACTGTTTTTCACTATTCGGAATATTATATTATTGTAAATATTATTTAAATGTTCTCGATTAATATATCTTTTAAATTGATCGTACTTTTTATTTGTATCTTAGAGGCATGAATTTTTTCCCACTCAAAAAAAGAAATTGAGTATTTTATTAATTTTTAAAAAATTTCTTGCAAAAAAAAGGTTGATTGCAGTTCAGGAAATTGCCCGAAAACGTCAAATGTAAAGAATTTGAAGTATCACCGGATAATATTTTGTGCTTTTCTGGTTTTCAGAATGTCTTTACTGCCCAACATGATGTGAGATTTTTATTCGTGTAAATAATATTCTTATTCTGTATTAAAAATGTTTTTTTTGTGATTATTATTTTGCTATTTTTATTTTGTATCATATTTTATTGTTGTATCTTGTTCTTTTTTTTGTTTGTATTTTTTAATATTTTTAATATTTTTAAAATCATTTATCAAAGTCGTAAATGAATATGACTTGGTTCAGTTTCAACTCGAAATTGATGGACGTGTTTATGATAATGTAAATCATTTCTATCAGCTAGCAAAGACTGAAGCATTATGTGGCGTAACTTCGTTATTAATGGTTGAAGGATCGGAAGGAGATGGAAGAGGAAGAGCGAAAGATTATAATACGCTTGCAAAAAATATTCTCCGAATAAATAAGGTTCATGATTATATACTCTTTAACTAAAATTCTACAATATAATTGCTGGTTTAAATTGAAATTAGAAGGAAATGTTTTGGTACAAATCAAAAGGTTAAAATATCGTAAAATTGTCTTATTTTTCTCTTTTAATTTGTATTTATGTTTTTATATTTTTTATTGTTTTTTTACATTGGAACAAGTGATTTATTAGATTTCAAGAAGTGCTGCTGAAGAATGGAGGAGAGGTGCAGGATTAGAAGCTATGCAAGTAAAGTTTTAGCGAAATTTATTTTTTTTATCGATTTTGGTTTGATAATTTTTGTTAAAATTGGAGAATAATTGAAAGATTGTTACAGAGAGCATTGTTAGCAAAGGTTGAACAATGCGAAGAATTGCGACAAGCACTGCTCGATTCGGATCAAAAGCTACTGGTTCACTGTTTCGGTGGAGATGATTTCTATGCTAGCGCTTGTAATAATAAATATTTATTAGATTGGGCGCGTAGTATGAGCACAAACAAGGGTATTATCAAGGTTATTTTTACTTTATTGTTTGAAATCATTGCGCAGTTCTTTGTTTTCCTCTTTCGGCTTTGATTTATTTCTGATTTATTTTCTCTCCATTTTTTTACCGATGAAAAAACTTTTAGATGTTCTTAGTCATGAATGCATATAAAGATTTTATTTAATTAATTTTTTACAGATCCCACTCGAATTTCCATTAACATCTGAAATGGTGTTGTCAGTTCCTAAATTTGGTCTTGGACGAAATGTTCTTGGCGTTATATATATGCAGTTGCGAGAAATGGTTAAAATTTTTTAGGTTATATGCCAAAAGTGAATAAGCAAATCAAATAAGCTAAAAATGTTTTTTGCTTATCTCTATCGCATATATTTTTGTGCAAATATTTAATCTAATTTTCTAAATTATTAATAATAAGTTTTTACTTTACAGTTACGTAATGGAGTGCTTCCATTTAAAGGACCAACATGCAAAGTAAGTCATTTATCTCATTTCAAATTTTCCAATGGATTAGGGACAATTCATTATGCGACTATAATTATTATGAACTAAAATTGAGTTTTTTTAAAAGAATTTTTAAAAATTAGGTGAGTGGAAGTCAGCCCATGGAAATGCACGATGATATGTCTGGGCCAAGTATTGTCCCAAGTGTACCTGCTCCTCTCAAGGTTGTTATTGATTTCTTAATTCTCATTATAATGGAAAATCAATTAAATATTTTGTCGATGCTGCCGAAAATTTTTATCAAAGGATCACTATATTTATAAAAGAATGTAGAAAGAGAGATATTATTTGGATTATAAGCTAAATTCACCTGGAGTATTTTTCCCATCAAATTTAATTTATAGTTTTAGAGCGAATCACGAGAAAGTTCTTCAATTGATTCATTTATTATTGGAGGAGGATCTGTGCAGGTTTCTTTTGTTGTTTTTTTTATTGTTTTCTTCCTACTTATATGAAAGTAAATGTCGCGAACGGTTTAATTTATTGCTGAAAAGTTGTTATTCTTGTTAAATTGCATTTTACATATTATATTATTTTTCGAATTCTGTCTTAAATTTTAAATTTTTTTTTCAGGTTTAATTTTTCCTGAGCAAATGAAAATTATTCGTAATTTATAAAATTTTCAGGGATCGTTAAAAAGTCGTTCTTCAATTACTACTCGCAATGTGCTTTCTGTTCCTCTTGAATATCTTACAACTTTTGACTAAGAGGAGGTGATTTTCATATTTTTTGATATCTATTTTATTCTAGTCCTAAATTATGTAGTGAAATTAATGTTTGATCATCTGATCATTACTATTTTATTTAAATTCCTTCAGAAATTTCAGAAACGAGAACATCGTATTCTTACAGTCGATCTCAGTATGTATGCTTTTTCTAGTTGTGAATTAAAATCTTCTGTAAATCAGATATATAATAAAGATTTGCGAAAGTTTGCGGTTTTCTTTTAATTTTTTATATTTTTGGATTTTTTTCTGAATTTTTTATCAGAATTTTGGTAAGGTGAGTTACTTATTGTTCAGACGTTTTAATTCAGCGATTATTTATATATATCCATGATTTTTTTATTGGGAAAATTGAAACGGCTAACTCGTGGAAATTTTTTATTATGTAGAGAGGAAATTAAATGAATTAGTTCTCCCTTTTTTCATTTTTTTTTTTCTTACTTATTTTTTTATATTTCTGTTCCTTATTGTTGTTACATTTATAGTATATGATTTGGCACTAATATTTTTTGTTATTTTTGAAGTTTTTTCATTTTTATCATTTCTTAAAGATTTTTTCATCGTTCAGCAGTTATCATTCTTATCTGTTATCTGTTCTTATATGTTTTTTCTATTTATTTAGGCATATCACAATAATGAAATTCAATTTAATATTTATTGTATTTTTCGTTATGTATTTAATATTGAAATGAAGATTGAATTTTTTTAAAGCTTTTCTCACATTCTAAAATTATTTTTACAGATTTAAAAATAAATCTAGAGAAAGAGATTTTTGAGGAAAGGTTTTTAATTTTTTTCGGGAAAATATATTTGTTTTTTCTTATATATTTTTACATATTTTTTTGATTAGTTGTTATTACCATTTTTTATTTTTTTTGCATTTTAATATTGTGTAATAACAATATTTAATAATGTTTTTTAAAATATTCAAAATTAAATTTAGACGTTTAAACCGAGAAAATTGAGAATTGAGAGTTGAAATAAAATATCGCCTTCCTCCATTTATATATATTTATATATTTATCCTCCTTATATTTCTCGAATATTATTCGTCTGCAAATTTCTTTTGCAATTTTTCAATGATAATTTTTATTTATGCAAATTTTTTGTAAAATTTATTCATTTTTTAGGTATTGATTTTCTTAAATAATATAATAGTTAAAAATAGAATGAATGAATTTACTTCTGAATTTTTAAATATTATTTAAGTAATATCTTATAATAATAGTAATATTAATAATATTAATAACAATGATCTGTTGTGTACATATATATATAATATATAATAAAAATAATATGGCAATATTTATAGCAATTTTTTTCTGTAGTTTTTAAAAAAATTAGCACATTTATGAAATTGTTTTTCTTAAATTACAAGTGAAATTATCATATATTTTTATCACCTTATCAGAAATCGTATTTATCTCTAAATGTCTTTCATTTTTTTTCTTACTTATTTTTAGCATTGATTTTTCACGGATTCTTAAAAGAGGAAAATTTTTTCTTTTTCGAAAATTTCAAGAATATTTATTATTTAAAATTTTAAAGTATCGTTAAATCATTTAGCATTAAATTATAAATGAATCTATTAACGATTGAAAATATAAATTGTTTTATTTCCTTTGTTTCTTTCTAAACAATTGATTTTCTCTATGTTGCAAAGTCGTAATGTTTGCAAACAGGTCGAAATTTTTTTCAAAGAGGTGTTTTTTTTCTTTGATGTGATCGGGTCAATCATTTTTTTGTTGTTATTTCAGTTTATTTCTTTTTTGTTTATATAGATGGCGTTGAAAGAGATGCATTTTAATCTTCAGCGAAATAAATGTTTTATTTCGTATTAAGTCGATACAAAAAAAAAAACAAATTAGTGATAATAATATAATAATACTTAATTAACACAAGGCAAAAAAATCTAAAAAAAATTATTAATTTTAACAAATTATTTAACCAAGTGATAACCGTTTTTAACCGTAAAATGATGGCTAATACAGTTATAACATAATTTCCCAACTGCCTTCGCTATATAACGTTTGTAAAAAATAAAGATGAAATAAAATTCGTGGGAAAATGGCAATAAATAATTTTAATGAGTTTTTGAAGAGGAAGGTCGTATTTTCTTTAAAAATTTTTAAAAATTTATTAAAACGAAGCAAGTGGAAAATTTTGCCTGGAAAATCTAGAAATTTTCCTTTTGTTACACGGAAATTTGAAAATTAGAGGAAAAGACATGAAATACGAAAGGAGTGATGTAAAATTCATAAATCCAATTTTCTTTTAAAAATGGTATAAAACTCGCGGAAAACTTGATAAAAGAAGCGGAAATATTAAAAATATTAAATATTAATGAATAATGAAAAATTTTATCGAAAATCGAAAAAAAAATTCAACAAAATTAAGCAGAAATATTAAGGCAATAAAAACTGCAATTATACCATTTAAAGAAGTTCAACATAATTCGCTGGAAATAATCCATACTGCCCTTTGCAATAACCACGCCACCAACCAGCATCCACCTAAAATCACAATTTTTTGTGCAAAAAAAAATTGTTTCTTACCAAATCATAGTGCCAAGCCTATTGCTGGATTATTGATGAATGAATGAAGAAATTTATTTATACCTGATCAATATTGGTAATAACGTCATCAGGATCAAAACTAATTTCGTCATCATCTTGCTTTTGATAATCAAATAAAGCAATAGCTGTAAGGCCAGTAGAACCAAGAGGATGTGAAGGAGCTGATAAGGGGTCTGCAGATGTTGGAATCGGAATAGGTACCTGAATTATTTTGCGATTATTTTGAATTTTTTTTGAATGAAAATAAATGAATAGAAAAACGATATAATTTATTCCAATTAAGTTAGGGAGACCATCTTAATAAATTTCGAGACGGAAATAACCAATTTATCGTCCCAACCTTTTCCTGTATTATAATAATCTATCAACTATTCTTTATTTTTCTACTTTTTTTCACAATATCAACTCGCAAGGGATAAGTCTATTGCAATAGTTACGTTGAGAAGCAAAAGTTTTTGCTACTAGAAACTTATTAAAAATATACAATGGTTAGCGACCTACATCACCAGTTCCTCAGCAGAAATTTCCAACCGTATTAACTAACGGAATGAACTAAATAAATGTAAACGCTAACCATTTACTTTACTTTTTATAACAATAAGTAACTGCAACAAAAAATTAAAAGAATTCCTTCGAAATAAATATATAATATGATAAAAAAAAAATAAGTGCAGCGTTTAGGTTAAGGAAAACAATCATGTGCAACTGCCTAAACATCAAAGATATAAAGAAAATGATATTACATCAGCGGGAGGCTCCTCATATCTCTGCAGTGGTGGGTTATGTTGAATTTCAGATACATGCTGCGCAAAATTATTAATATTTATATCGCCTGGGACTACGTCATATCTGAATCCTTGATTTTGTTCAGAAGAAACAGATTGAGGCACAAAAGCCGGAACCTAAAGAAAATCAAAAAATCGTTTGAAGATTAATATTCTGCTTTTTATTATTCCGCTGTAGATCCGCGATGATTACCTTATTAGAAACAATAGATGGATTAGGATGGATCGAACCATTTTGGCAGCCTCTATCACTCTCTTCTTGATCAATAGCTGAAACCATTAACATTATTTATATGCAATGATTAGAAAAAATTGGAGCATGCAGGAACATTAAGGAGAAAAAAATTCAGACCTGCATTTAATCGCGAACGTGGAGAATGTGCAGATATAATGGGTAGTTTAACAGGTTGTGGCTGGGGCGTCTCGACAACTGGAGGCTGTGTTTCTACTCTTGATTCAAGAGGCTCACGATTACGCGAATGTTCGGAAACACCTGGCATTATAGCTACTGCTCCAACTGGTGTTCGAGAATGCCGTTTTACTGCACCTGAAACAAGTATCGTTTAAATAAAATTTTGAAAAGTCAAGAAAAACCAAGCATAAAGAATGCCCACCACCAGTGTGATATAATTGATTGTGTTTGCGAATTTCTTCCTCAATAGCTTCAGGATCCATCTGCAAATACTCTGAGTATTCAAAAATATTAACCAGTGAAATCAAAATTATTTAGCAATTCGGAAAAGGACTTAATGTGCAGAATATTAAAATACTTCGCTTTGTTATTGTCCGTGTCATTCAAGTCGTAATCCGAATGCGCGCGCAAATCATTAGGAAATATGATATCGGAAGTCCAGTGCGCCAATGGGAACGCCTTCTTCGTTTTGCCGAAGAGTAAGAACTTTTTATAACTTTTTATTATTCTAAGAAATCAACTAATCACGTGGAACTTCCCAGGTAATCATCATTTCAATCAGAGCAATAAAATTTTTAAGTCAATCGCCATTGGAAGAGTTTGTACTAGACAGGTGTTCATATCGCGGCATTAAAACGGGCAATTTTTATGGATCTGACTATGTCACAGTCTGGTATATTCGAGCCAGAATCCATACAAAATTGCTAACTCACAAGAAACAGCACCTCCCAAGATCTTTCAACTGTAAAATTCAAAGAGAGTGAGCGCATTTTAAAAACCGAATTATCGAAGCACTTCAATGATATATCTGGCAATAACTAAAAGAATTTCTCTGAAACTCAGCCATTTCCACGTTAGGACTAGCAGGAAATGCGCTTGTTGGGCATCGGAAACAACTGTCCAACTGTCCGACGACTGGAGTAAAGCATTTTTACTTCCAATTCCTAAGAAAGGACATACAGTAATAATTATCGAAGAATCATCATAGTTTCCAGGAAAATTTTCGCTTCCCTCCTGCTGCATAGGCTTTTGGCATTATGAGGGCGCCTTAACCAAGTTGGATTTAGACCGAAGTGCGTTGACCAAATATTCATATTAAGAAGGATGTTGGAATATCACTTCAAAAATTGGCAACCCATCGTTAATTTTTTCATCGATTTTGTAATTGCCTTCGATTTAGTTGAACAATCAGTGCTTACGATGATAGAAAGTATTCCAGAGAAAATCATCTGATTCAAAAGGCATTTTACCAGCGTACATTGGTACAAGTGCGTATAATGAAATATTCTTTGGAAATAAAAACTGGTGTTCGTCAAGGATGCATCTTCTCCCTTATAATATTCAACTATGCTCTTAGATTTTCAAAAAGAAGGACGGAAGACGGAATTATAACGGAAGCTAGAAAATCCTCTGAAAAAAACGAAACTTTTAAGAGGCCACTGAGAAATCACTAAAATCACTATAAAGACGAAAATTCGTATCCGTATAGATGCAACTGCTTGCTATTTGGCTATGAGACATCGCCAATGAGATACAAATGGAGAATATTAAGAAGTTATCTGCCACTCATATCTAAGATACACTTTTCGGATATATATCTGAGATCCACTATCTGCCGACCGGATAAAACGGATGCATCCATCTTCGCTCAAATACCACTGGTCTTAACCGTACCATAACATAGTGTCGCTTTCGCTGGTAAGACACGTTCTTCTTTGCCCACCACAAGAGTTGATAAATATTTGGTAAATATTTGCTCTGTGATGGTTGGTTGGCGTCAAAAGCGAGAAGGATCAATCAAGACCTGGACTAATACAATTAGGAAAAATTTTGAAAATACAGGGAAATCGGCGATGTCTTACTTCGAGATGTCTTACTTATTTATCCAGCGGAACCAGCTTAATCAATAACGGTAACATCTATTAGAAGATGACGAGAAGATTCACAGTCGCCTATCAGTCCAAATACCCGAAGAAATATAAAAGTTCGTACATAAAAGTTTTTTTTTTGAAGACTACAAAAAAAAAGAATGAAGACAGTTTAGAGATAAAGCGCATTAAATGTTATATTAAACCCTGTTCCACAAGAAAAAAAATGCAATGCATTAAAATAAAAGTACCTGTTGTTCCATTTCCTCCTTACGCTTCCATTCTTCAGCAATTTTTCGCTGCCTCTCCTCTTCCTCTTGTTGTTGTCGCTTTCGTAATTCTTCGTCCTCTCGTTTTCTTTTTTCCCTTTCCAGGCGAACTTTGTTTTCATTCTTAAAATTCATTTTCATCATTTAGTTCTTCATCCTTACAACTTAATATATAGAAATTTATGGAATGCCATATTAATTGAATTTTTTTTTAAACAGCACTCACTCAACTCGTTCCGCTGACCTGTCTGATTAGGTAAAAATGCCAGGGAGTCCCTGTCTGATTAGAATGCCAGGGAGTCCCTGTCTGATTAGAATTACAGGTGTGCCATCGATAACCAGATTTTTGGACAGGTTTGCTGCTGCGAGAAGTAGAACTACAGCCAACCGTCATTTCGATTCAGCAATAACTCACTGAGCTATTCTACTCTCCTTTACTTTTCTTCGTTAAGCGACAGCAGCCGGCCGACGAAAAATGATGTTGGCGAATTCAAACCCAAGTTTCAGACCTCAGTGACAGTTATACCGAGCCACTAACAGACCTTGTTGAATTAATTCATATTCACAAAAAAAATACCTCAGAAACAGCCAACTGCTCAAATCTGGCCTTAAGATTAGAAGTTGTGCCTTTAGCCACAGGTTTGCTTTGTTCTGCGGATTCTTTTACTTGTCCTTAAAATTGAAGGGGAATAACGAAAGAATGTGCAAAAAGCAAAAGAAGTTTTTAAAAATTTAGAAGCCATAATTATTTCAACATTTTTTAAAAATTCAAAGTTGTGTAATTTTATAATGTCCATAAAATTAAAATTTTTGATTTTCAAGAAAATCTAATTATAATGAAGGATCGAAAACCCTTGAGATTATCCACTTGATTTCCATGTGGAGCGGATTTTTCATGATAGTCGAATCCAAGGGCATTTCGATCTTGCCTGTCCTCCTGCAAGCCGAACTGGCCACCAAAACCTTTCTTGTAATCTATAAAAAGAATGGAATGAAATGAAAAAATCGAAAAAAATTGAAATAGTTGTAGAATGAAAGAATTAAACTGTATAAGTATAAATAATAGCACTGGTTGTAAGGTTGTAGAATTGCAATATAATTACCGATTTGGCTTTCGTGTTGTTGTAATTTATCACGCTCTTCCCAACCAACAGCGCTTTTATCTTGACGGTCCTCTTGCACTCCAAATTTACCACCGAATCCCATTTTATAATCTGAAGATGTGAAGGGAAACTTTATGGAAAATTTCAGTTCTAGTCAGTTTGCGACTAGTGTATTTTGAAATTGCACATGAGAAATTTGTTTCTACCTTTTTGACTCTCATGCAATTGCAAATGTTCATGATCATCCCAGCCAACAGCTGATTTATCTTTACGATCTTCTTGTATGCCAAACTTTCCTCCAAATCCTTTTTTATAGTCTAAAATTAATGATTTTCCAATTTAGAACCAAAAATATGTTGAGAAGAAAAATGGAATAATTGACCTTCCAAGCCACTATGAAAGAGATAAAGAGAAAAATAAACCTTTCTGGCTTTCATGCTGTTGAAGCTGTTCGTGATCTTCATAGCCAACTGCAGATTTATCCTGACGATCTTGTTGGACACCAAATTTTCCACCGAATCCCTTTTTATAATCTGAAGTTTTTTATATAATAACAAAGAATTTGCTCAATGTAGTGCAATACAAATCCTCGTTTCGTGGATATTAAGGAAAGACCTTTTTGACTTTCATGCTGATGAAGCTGTTCGTGTTCTGCCCAGCTATGTGCAGACTTATCCTGGCGGTCTTGCTGAACACCGAATTTCCCTCCAAAGCCTTTCTTGTAATCTAAATTTATATTAAATTTATAAATTTAAATCGATTTTTTAAAAGTTCTATTTTTTAAAAAGCAATTTTTTAAAAAAATTAAAATTAAAATTAAATTTCATAATGATTTCTCGATCAAACGTTTACCCAGTTGACTCTCATGCTGATGAAGTTTTTCATGCTCATCCCAGCCTGCAGCACTTTTATCTTTCCGATCCTCTTCTATTCCATATTTCCCACCAAATCCTTTCGAATAATCTAAAAAAATTCATTAAAAAGAATCTTTAAAGAGCGGATAAGAATTTAGAATAACTTTATGTGCAATAAGATTAAAATGCACTCTAAAAAATGCAATTTTTTTTTAAATTTAGCAATACAAATTTAGCAATAAATTCGCTCAGGAACTTTTTTAATGTGCCATTAAAAGCAAAAAACCGCAAGAATTGAAAAAGTATCACTGTAGAGCCAAGAGCTAATTGCATTGTCACGTACCTTTTTGACTTTGATGTTTGGCTAATTCAACTTTTTCGTCCCAACCGACTGCAGAAGCATCTTTTCGATCAGTTTCTACACCAAATTTACCCCCGAAACCTCTCGAATAGTCTTTTTGCGAGACATGTTTTTCCACTTTCCCATCATATTCCCAATTCGCTGCACACTGCAAAATAAAATTGAAAAAATTTTCCCACTAAATTGTTAAGATTAAATAAAAAATAGAAAATAAATATGATTTTAAGATTTTATATTGGGTGAATTTCAACTTTGATTTAAATTTCTGCTTAAAAGTATATATATGGCTTATATGAGAATATATAATTGCTGTTCAAATCAAATGTCAAATGTATTTAAAATATATCGACCGTAATTTTAAGACAAAAAAAAACTTCATATAATAAAAATAAAAATAATATAATAAAAATATATAATGTGTAATAAAATAGACTTTATCCATCCTATCCTTTTGAACACCAAATTTTCCTCCATAGCCGTCACTTGCTTTAGGCATTTCCGCTGATTTCAATTCCTAAATTAATTCACTCTGAAAATGAAATATTTCATCAATTTTCTTTTGGCTTAAGTATCGGTGAGACTGTTTTTTTTCCATTTGCATTTCCTATTATATTGAAAATTTTAGAAAATTAAAAAAAATACACTGATTCTTGCATCATCAATTAAGATATCTTTTCTTAATTGATCGAGTGATATAGATTCTTGATGACCAGAACCTTCAACAGTTTTGGAACCCCATCGACTCTCTTTTTCGCTTACATCATTCTGTAAATTTTGCAAGGAATATTAAAAATCTATTTAATAGAACTGATAATAATAATAATTATAACCGATAACTAATAATTTATTATAATTAATCGGTTCCACAGAAAGGGCATATTTCATATCATATCAATTAATATAAACAATTAAGACAATAAATTATCAGACGAATAAACCGTAATTAATGGATAACAGGATGGATCAATGGTATGACTAAGCCATCATCAGATTCAATTCATTCCAATTGATAAAAATAAAGCATTAAAAATTAAACCCTAGCCATGTGCTAAAGTCCAAAGTCTGTATTCCTATCTTTAATTGATTCTATAGTGAAGGGTTTTGAGCCGAGTAGGCAATGGAACCCATTCGAAGCATAACGAATATTGACGACCAGTAAATAATAAAATAGTCACAAATTTAGTAAACAGATGATCAGATTGAAATTTAACTACCAGATCAATTAATCGTAAAAGTAGTACTAAAATTAGTATTAGTATTTATATTCCCAGCAGTTCAATATTTTTAATTCTTAATTTTTAATTGTCGTATTTACATGTGCTAAAACAGCAACCGCATAAAATAATATTTATCTAGGCTTACTTGGCTTCTCTATTAAAAGAAAATATCTAAAAAGCGAGAATAAAAAAAAATAAGAAAAGCAAAAAATCACGATGAAATCTGGATCAGTTTCCCAATCATTATCATCAGCATTTGTGGAAATTTGTTGAGCGATATTAACCGGTGCTTTTGCATGCCACATTTAATCTTCCTAAAAAAAAATATTATTTTGTAATTTTTTTCAATAAAAAAATAAAGTTTTTTTATAATTTTTTAAATATATATCAATATTAAATATTAATATTATAACTATATTAACTAAATATATACTTTTTATTTATAATATATATATTTTATTTTCATTTTTAATATGAACTTTTAATATATATTTCTATAATATATACTTTTAATATATATATTTCTATATAATATATATATACTTTTAATATATAATACTAATATATTTCTATTTTAAGTATTTTTAGTATTTTTCCTATATTTAACATATATCTCTTATTTTTATTATATGTTTATTTAATTTTTGCTTTTATTTTTTATTTTTATTATTTATTTTTATTTTATTATTATTATTTTTTTATTTTTATTTAATATTAAATAACTTTCAAATAATAAATATTAAATATTTTAATGCATTCGTTTCGAAGTTTCTAACTTTAACTTTAAATTCAAATTTCGGAATTAAAATTTTTAAAATTTTAATTTATGAAGAAAAATTTTTTTTAAAATAAAAATTATAAAAAAATTAAAATTAGAATTTATTAAATTCGAATTTCTCCCAAAAAAATATTCGATAATAAATAAAATTGAGATGAAAAATATAATTTAAAAATAGCCTAAAAATTATGAAACAACACGGAATTAACGCAAACCTAACGAAAAAAAAAAGAGAATATTACAACAATTTTTGCCAAATTTCTAATTCATTTATATTCTAAGCTGTTACAGATCTATAGTTTTCGCTATGGGAGACAAAATTTTAAATTTTTGCTTTTTATTGAATTTTGCTTTTTATTGAATTGCTTTTTATTTTTATTGAAGAACAATTTAAAGTGCAATTATGAATTGACTGGGGTCAAAGGGCATAAGACAAAGTATAAGAGCTAGTGAAAAGTGATTTTATATATGATTTCGAGTGAGTGAGTGGGAATGTGGTAGTGGGTACCACAAAAGAAATTAGGCTTCTATTTAGGATAAACGTAATTGACCTTGGTGACTTTTTTTCAAAGCATTCCGGAACCGATTCAAATCACACGGAAACTCTTGGAAATTCGCGTGAATAGTGCAAATTTTAGGAATTTTGCCACAAATTTTTGTAGTTTTCAAAAATAAGTTTGACTTGATTTGATTACTAAATCCCAATATCTTTTATCAATCGATTTTAATATACATAAACTTATCACGTTAAGTTTCTGATCTCATTAATTGAAAGATATGATAAGATAAGATAGCAAAGCTAACAAAAATCAGGTGAAAAAGCAATAATCAGATTGCATATTTTGGTTGTTCTGAAAATTTCCAAGATTAATACTATCGTTGTGGATCTTACACTATTGCGTTTCACGAGTGCTTTATCAAACAACCGAAACAAATCTTCGATAACTAGAATGATTGATTTCGAAAAAAATGAAGGTTATAAATTAACGAATTAATCAATTAAAGTTGAATTCAGTAACTTTCTTGCCGAACTTTATCATTTTATTGACTGATATTGACTGATAACGCCCTTGGATAGAAATATAATTCAAAAACGATTCCAATTTTTAAATCACTAAGAGAAATTTGTTATTTGCGATTAAAAATTTATTAAATTAATATATTTTATATTTATAATTAATATATTTAATATATTTTAATTATATTTAATTATTATATTTAATTATATATTTAAATTTAATATATATCTCAAAAATATTTGCTATGAACTGACTAATTTTCATGTTGACCTTTACCATTTTTATCATTTTGTAAAAGTCATAATGTTAAAATGTGGCGAAATAAAATAGTAAACTGATAATTGATAATTAATCAAAAGATATCATGAAAAATAATGTTTGCGAATCAGTTAGGCTAAAATTAGGTCAATAAGTGAAGGATTTTTTTAAAAGAAAAGAAAAGCAAATAAAGGAATAATCATTCATCATTTATTCAATTCATTTAATCGCTAAGAAACGAAAAAAATTCTTTATAGATATCTCTATCATATTTTCACTTGATTTTAACCGAATAACATATTTTTTATCAAATTCTTATCAGAAATTTCAAGCAAATTTTTTTTTCTAAATCGATTGACTGCAATGATAAGATTTGGTCTCTTCATTACAGATTTATTTGAAAATATCCGGATTTCTTTCTTTATTGCAAATTTTCTGCCATTAAAGAGGTCGAACTAAAAATGGTTGATTTCATCCTGTCGTTTCTATGCACAAATATAAGCAGTTAAGCGATTAATACGAAATACAAGCACAAGCGTTCGAATCATAACCATCTTCTACCTTCTATCATGCATTTTATATTCCCAGACCACTGGTTGGGAACCCGAAATAAGGATAAACCCTTAATACCCATAGTTGTGTTAAAATATCAGTGATTATTTCAAGATTAAAAGCTGGATGAAAGAAAAAAAATTCATGCGTGAATTCGCTCATTTCTTTCACCTAAATTGCAATTTTCTATAAAAGAGAAGTGGATTAATAAGATTTGAAAAAAATTGAAAACTATTTTCATAGCGTTAATAAATTTTAAGGGATTTTTTATTTCGATATATTTTAATTTTCTATATTTTTTTTCTATATAAATTTTTTTCTAAATTTTTTTTTTTAAATTTTCTAAATTTAACAAAGAATTCTAATTTTGCGCAAACAGCTTGAATAGCTTCGAAAAAAATAAAAACACTCTTAAATCTTAAATATTTAATATTTAATATCATTAGTGGTCATTAATTTTGGCGAAGAAAAATGAAACTATAGACGAGATTAGATTTCAAATCTTTGGTGCATCGCCATAATTTAAAAGATTTCGTCAAAAAAACTTTTATAAATATTGTCTAAAAAATAATTTTCGATTTGACAAATTTCTTTAGTTTATAAATTATAAAAAAAAAAAAAATCGAATCATAAAAATAAATTTTTTTTTTTGCAATCAAATTAATTTTATTCCTCCAGGTATAGTAAATGTAAATGTATATAACAAGTAATTTTTAATCTAAGAATAATCAATCGTAAAAATATCGAAATTTAAATCAATCTTACCTAATTTATAATTCCTGATGTTCTCAACGATCAATTTGTCTTCAAGTGAAGCCAGAAGAATGGAAACAAAGTAGAAAAGATGGATACTTTTAGAATATTGAGAATAACAATTTAAAGAATTCATGGTTCAGAATTTATCTACTGGCTATTTTAAGAAAATTTTTTTCGATGTATCAAAATTTTTCATAGAATTTTCTTAATTTTTGGCTTTTTTTTTAAATGCTAGCACAATCTTCTATATAATTTTTCTTTGATTTCTGAAAGGTTACATGAATTTATATGAATTAGACTATTGGAATATCTCAGGTAAATATCGTATATATTCGCTATTTTTTCTTTCATCGATAGCGCTCAACTAAGAATTTCTGAAATATCGGCACTGATCAAAAGTGATCAAAATTATGAAAAAGATTAAACCGGACCAGATTAAACCTTGGCGGTAGAATATGAATATTATGAATATTTGTGAAATGCGGACAAAAATGAGAAAATTATTGGAGTAGAAAAAATCGGCAAAGGTGAAAATACGATTTATTGAATTATACTGTATGTGAAAGATTTTGATTAAATCTGATAAATTTCGCATTTATCCATTGCGAATTTTCTTCATCTCGAATGGTACTGGTGACTGGCGACTGGCGACTTGTCATATTATTCCTCCTGGTAAAATTTATCGGGCCTGGCATGCCAGCCAAATGGACTCAATGGTGAGCATCTCTTTGAAAAAAAAAACTTTATATCTTTAGCATTATTATTCCTATATCATTACCATTTGCACTTTTTTGTAGAATGATAAATGACCTTGACATTAATTTCGATTTCTTCACATGAAATAAAAATATTAATAGATTTTTTTAAGGCAATAATAACAGAAAAATCAAAATTCGAAGACTTGGTACCATCTTGAAATTCAACCAGCACAGCCAACATTTAACCATAACTTCATAATTTCACTTTTGCATAATTTCTAACCGGATGTATTTTTTATGGCATCGTTATCTCTGCTAAACAGAATGAAACATATTGCACGAAAGAACCATTAGCCGATAAAAAAGCGATGGATCTCTATCAATTTCAGTAATATTTTTTAATATTTCTGGTTATTTTCTTGTCATTTGGATGCGATTAATTTTTAGAAATACCTAAAAAGCATGAAATATCTCAGTATGGCTTTATATTACCTAATTAATCTAATATCCTTGGATTTCCGGAGAACGCATCGGTTGTCATTCAAGTTACATCAATTTCGGATCTGTAATTCTGGTTAATAATTATATAATGTTGTAATATATTCTGCTCGAATAAAGCTGAATATATTATAGACATTTAGCAATGATGTAAAGAATTCCAATAATAAACTCCGGAATGAATTTATCAAGCCGTTTGCTGTTGTTCCGATGTTTTCTGCTTTTTCTCCTATTCATATGGATTTTTTTTTTTTCTGCGAAAAGAATTTTTTCGAGGATGCGATGCGAAGAAATTTCTTTTTTGGTTTAGTAAAAAATACTTTCAGGAATGCGTAAAAATTTGCAAAACTTTTAAAATTTGTCTAAACAAATTGAAAAAATGCTGTTAAACGGCAAATGAAAATGGAAAATTTCGCTATTTTTTTTCTATGATGTTTAGCAATTTTTAAATAATAAAAATAATTAGCAAAACGTCTTTGTCAAAATTATCTTTTTTTCCTTATAATTTTACCTCCCCTCTTATACTTCTGAAAATTTAAGATTCATAAGGTGGTTTAAGAAAGCATAGACAATAAAATATGACCAAACATAATATATATGGTTAATTATGGGGATTGATACAGGGGCAAACATATGGTTGACCCAAATACGGTAATTGAAGTGTACATAAAAGACAGAGGACATTAAGTGAATTTCATTAGTTGACGGATTAATGAACAATCGTAAGAAAGAGATGGACAAGTGAAAACAAATAGGTTATAATTTCCCATGGGAATTTAACGAATGATTTTACGGCATTAAAAACTCGAAATTTGTCATTTTACTTCATTAATCTTAACATTTTGCTTATTTCCTTTCCTCGAAAAAACAATTTTTTTTCCTAAAAATTATTATTAATAAAAAATCATCGAAAATCTCGAAATTTATTTCATTATCAAAGCCAGCCTTTAGTAATTATTTAAGTTGATATATAACGCAACAAGCTTGACGAATTACATGTTGCTGTGACTATGATCGTCCATCACAAGCTCGGTCTATTATTATTGCTGTGACAAAAATCATCATTAGAACTGAAATCCAAATTTGGATTTCTCGCTTTTTCTTATTTCGATTCCTATTTTAGCCTGGCGAATCGAGTAGGCCTAATCACTATGCGAAAGGCTAAATGAAGAAAAATATGCTTTTTAATTTTCTATTGGCGTAATTTTGCAACAATCGTTAATCATTATTTGTAATGAACTGTCAATAAAATGACATATATGAATAATCAAGATCGAGAAAGCTTGTTGCACCTGTTAGGCTTTAATTCAGAAAAATTTTGAGGTTTCACCAGTTTATCATTTAAGGTTGATTTAGAAATAGTTTTTTTTTGGTGCAACTATGGTATATCTATTCAGTGAAACAAATATAATCGAGGAATATCTAAATTTTTGATCACAATGAAGAAAAAAAAATTTTAGACCAAAAATTTCCAGAAATTTTTTCACCAGTTTACAAAAAAAAAATAAGATTAATAGGGTCGCAGCACGTTTAGAATTCGCCTAAACCATCGTTCCTTAGTTAATTAATTTGTCACATAAAATTTAGCAAAATTGACAATACAGTATTAGTTTTGCAATATTTCTATGCTTTTTATACGATCGAAAATCCAATTAACAAAAAAAAATTAATAAATAAGAAATTTTTCATAGAAGAATAACAAAAGAAATATTAAAATGTCGATTTATATAGAAATAAAATAAATTTTAAGCATTATTTTTTAATGAATTTGCTCATCGCACGGAATAAAATAAATTGATTTATATAGAAAAAATTGGCCAATAGGACATTTCTCTGAGGAATTCTTTAGAAAATATATGTTACAAATGGAAACACCTGTTGCTGACGAAATTCATAATAATTCGTTCAATAATAAGAATTTTTAATTTAGTCAAAGGTCAAACGAGTTTATAAGAGTTTATAATATGGTTTATAGCTTTTTTTTATACATTAAGAAAATACAATTAATTTTTTCAATAATTTTTTCGCGCTATTTCTGCTTATTATTTATCAAAATGAGCAAAAAATTATCATTGTTTTTTTTAATCATTATTGATAAAATTGATATAAAATAAAATATAATACATAAATTATATGAACAAAAGAAAGGAAAAAATTTAATCAAAATGGATATGGCGTTAAATTTCTATGAATACAACAATGACAATAAGTTTATTCATTCAAAACTATTTTCAAGAAATAATTTTCTTGAAAAAGTCATAAAAGAGCTGCTCATTAATTACTCAATAGTCTGCCTTATGATTACAACATTTTTAATTTATATCTTATTGATTCATTGCCATAAACTAGAATATAACACAGATTAATAAAATAAAAAAATAAAAGAAATTTCGGTTTTTGATTTAAAAATTTTTGCTTTCGGCTAAATGATAGTATAAAACAAAAAATTCATCGCTGTTAATTCTTGTAATTCTTGGAAACAACTAAAATGAGAAACGGTGTCATATGGAATTACTAGGGTAGAATTATTAGGAAAAATGAAAATTGTTTGAGGTTCATTAAAAATAAAGAAATTTGATTTTGTGGATTTCCTAAAATTTTAAAATATTAATAAATCTTGCTACTCTTAGCAAAAAATTTTAGCTGAAAGCAAAAAAGCAATAGGAGAGCAAATGCTATTGTAAATTTTTTTTACAAAATTGGTACTATTCCTAGAACTTAGAGAAATCTTATGAGCAGCACGAATGTGAAATAATGCAACTAAATGGAACTACTTTGCATCAAAAATCGTTCGAGGAATCGAAAATAACCTCGGTAGATTTTCTGGAACAAAATTTGGTTCTTAAGTATTTTTTCTAAAATATAAAATAATTTACAAATGCTTTACCATAATTATCGAAAAATATCGCGAGAAATCATGTGAAAAAATGAATAAAAGAATTGCTAAAATGATTTTGTTCGAAAAATATTGTTTAAAAAATAAATATAAAAATAAAAATACCAATAACCCATTGAATATATACGAAAAAATAAATTAAATCGACAATAGCATCAAAAAGTTGTCCAATACAAAAAAATTATGTTGGAATCGATAAAATTGAAGCAATAGTAAAAGAATTACAATTTGGCCTGGGTGTTGGAGTTCGGCTAATAATATGATTTGAAGCATACTGTGGTAATAATAAAAAATTATTTTTATGAAAAAAAAACTGTTGAGGATCAAATAAAGTATGCGTCATGAGTGATTGAGATGGAAAAATCCATGGAAAATTGGCAGTAGGATAAGAAAGCTTTGGTTGATCTCGTCCAAATTCTTCATTAGTTGAACATCCTTGATGAATCTGAATGATAAAAATTTTCAATCTAAAAAGGAGAAATAAAAAAAAAAGTAATGAAATGCCTATTTCCATCTTTCTAGGCTTTCCGAATCAATGCGGCAAGGATTCTAATCCACAGATTCTCTTAACAATTAATTAGATTTTAATCAAGCATTTTAGAAAGCAATTATTCCTCAGTACTTTAACAATTAGATTTTAATCAAGCATTTTAGAAAGCAATTATTCCTTAGTACTTTAAAAACATATTTGAATATTTATAGTTTCAAAATTTAATAGAAATTATAAAAATGGACAAAAAGTTTTTTTGAAGTACCATGAAATGCAACTGCAATCATTTATGAATCCATTTACACCAAAGAACGCTTTAACAAAAGAAAATAAAAAAATTGTACTTTGTGGTGCTTATTAGTGATTACGAACCTATGGTACTTAATTGTGCAAATATCGCTTATTATAGTCAAATCGAATCAAATTTTATCTTCTATTTTTATATTCGATTATTGATTGAAGAAGAACAGATTTAAATAAAGAATTTCCATTGGCATTAAAGTACAGTCTTGAGGATAAATTCAGTAAGCGGCCATCCATTTTTAACATAAAATTTTCATTGTTTCAATTATTTTTAGTCGTGTATGGTAAATAACCTTGAAGCGTTTTCGCCTACGTAGACAACTTCCATTCTCAAACATTCCGAGAGCTTTAGGATGTACTGCCCAATATGAACCTTTTCCTGGCCTATCAGCTCGCCTTGGGATCTGAAGTTCTTAAAAAATTAAACAATATTAATTTAAAAGTGAGGAGCCTCATGGATTCTAAACTGATTACATTTCATGCTTCTTACTTCTTACCGTTTGAGTTTTTTGTGAATTTTATTTTTTTTCTGTTATAATTTTCTTTCTTGAAACATAATTCTCTGCTGCAATAATTGAGATTCAGATAACAGAGGCAAAAAAAGTTCAGTTTGGTATAATGTACCTTCCCCTGAGTTTTAATCCTTTTCTAACTACAGCTCAATTATCGTCGATCTACTTACATTTAGAAATTGATATGGTGAAAGAAATGCGCAAGAAGTATTGAATAGTGTTAAAATGCCATCCGATGGGCAAACCTACATATCTGGGTGAAATTTTTTTGTTTCTATCAGTTTTTATAGGTATAATTTATCTTTTAATTTAGGTTTTATTTCCCTAAATTGGGCATTAATTTTTTTAAAATATGCATCTATTCAAATGCATATTTCAAATTATCTAGCTTTTTGTTCCTACATCAATAATATTTTATAATACAAAAATACGATGGTTTTGCAAATCTTATGGTGGTTGCTAAATCCTCTTGTATAGATCCACAGCGCCTACTTTTATTTTTTTCTTTTATCAGTAAGCACAGCTGATCTTAATGATAATTTTTGCTGGTAAAAAGTAAATTTTAATCGATTATTTTTAAATGATTTTTAAAATAAGCCACAATATTCCTTTGCAAAATGAATTCGTTATTTGTGACAATCCTAAAGAAAGCCAAAAATAATTTCATAATTATAAGGAAACCTTCACAAAACAGTCGTTGAAAGATAAATTATGCCGCAAAGAATTTTGCCATCTCTGTGTATTTTTACGATAGAATGGAAATTTGTCCATGATAAATTTATATATTTCTGTAAGTGGCAACATTTTTTCATCTGAATTCTGGATCGCCATATATGTTAACCAAATATAAGAATACGGTGGCTTCTGCAAAGATGAATCTGTGTCATTTAATGAATAAAACTTATGAAATCATTAGCTTGAACAAAACAAAACAAAAATTGCATTAGTTAAATAATTAAATTTGGCATTAATATCGCCAAACTTCATGGAATTTCCTATTTACTAAAAATTTTTCTCAGTTACCATAAAATAAAAAAAAATGAAAAAATCAGTTTTGAATAAAACCTTTTTTACGAACCAAAGATTGTCCATTGCTTAACACTCAAAAGACTCAATTTTATCAATGTTTCTAAATGAGTTAAGAACTGAAAAAACAGATACATTTTGAAATTTCCTGCCAAAATTTGGTCATTAAAACCAATAGAAAATTTTTGCCCTTAATCTATACTTAAGCTATGAACAATTTAGCTCAGGTCAATTTTTAGACAATTCATAGAATAGAGTATGTTAAGCGTTTTTTTGCGCAGTGAATGATTTATCACTAATTTACATATATATATTGCGTTATTTAATAAGAATTTTCTTTAGTAAATTAATAAGTAGAACGATGAAAATATTTTATTGTGGATATAAAATTGTAAATAAATTAACGCAAAATCTAAAGAAAAAATCTAAAGAAAAATTTATCAGTGAAAATATGTTCAGAAAGAATTCATCCGGTGTAAAATTTATAAAAAATAGATTTTAAAAATATAAAAGCGATTAAAAATAAATGTTTTTTTTCAAAAATTTGCATATATCAGATGAAAAAAATTTTTTCCTAATCATCAATTTATTTTTTGTTTTTTCTTCATTTGGAAAATACTATCATTTTATTCAATTTCATTACAAAATTACAACCGGTCCGCTTGCAATGAAATGAATTCTGAATTTTTTCATACAGTGCTAATCTCGTGAAGCTTATGGATTTCTTCCTCGAGTAGGTTTAAATAAATGTATGATACAAATAGATAAAAGTCAGTACAGTAGAAAAAATTATTATAACATGAAATTATATTATTTCTATGGCCAAACAAGGGAATCTAAAATAAACTAATGTGAATTAGATCCATAAATGCGAGATCTATAAAATTTTTTTAAATAAAATGAATCGTAAGACCAAAAGAATTCGTGAAATTGACGAGTCAAGACGTTTGAATAGAGAATGATAATTTAATTAAACGTTATTTATGAAAATATGAAAAAAAGTGAATTTTTTTGTAGAAAGGAATTTCAAGAATAGAAAAAATTAACGAAAGTGTTAAAGTGTTAAAAAATTTTAAAAAATGATAAAATAATTGATATCTATAATTTTTACTTGCTGATCAGTAGTTCTTAATAAGCAGTTGAATGAAATCTTTAAATTATTTACTTATATAAGCGATACAACTGTTTGTTTTTTCAAAGAGCATTTATTACTGGCTAGGCTCGCTATATTGGCTTATCAAAAGGGACAAATTTTGCCAGAAAGTGAAAAAAGGCCAAGTCGATCAGCAAAATTATATGAATTTTGAAAAATTGGTTTATTTCGAACGAGAAGAAAACTCCAGCATAATCCAAAATGAAAACAATAACTCGCTAAGCCATTCTATTACCTAATCGCATTATTATGGTAGATCGATAGTTATTTATCTCAATTCTTCACCGATATTTTACTTTTGGCCAATTCTTTTGTAAATTATCTTTATTTGATTTATATTCCTTATTTTTCTAATAACAAACTTATTTTAAATGTTATTAATGAGTAAGAGTAATTAAAATAGAAGCAGTTGTGTAGCATCTGTGTAGATAGATAAATAAGCAAGTAATATTGAAAAAAATATTGAAATTAGAAAAAAAAGGGCCTAACCTGGTCATCATACGAATTTTTGCCGGGCCTTGGCATACTGTAACAGATAGGAGATTTTTTTTTTCAATATTTGACTGGAAAATTTATCAAACAAAATATTTGCGAGGTTTTGAGTGTGCAATTCAAATAAATTTCATCATTTCTTCAAGATAAATTCCTTGAATTAAGGCGGAGTTTTAGAAATTTAGCTGGCCAATAAAATTTGAAAGAGAACAAAAGAAAGGACAGGTAGAGAGAGAAAGATCGTATAAGTATCGCCCCACTCATTACGATTACGGTGTTCATTAAGGCGGAGAAAGAGATAAATTAAATATTGGCAGATGGTGAAAACGAAGGCCTTAACGTACATATAGGCCTCAAGGGATAACTGATTCGATGAAATCACTTGTTTTAATTAACTCGCTATCTTAATTAATTAACAATCGCATGGACTTAATAAATAGCTGAGAAATATATATTTAACAATATTAAATACTCTAATCAATTAGGTAGTAATTAATTTGAATATTGTAAAGGCTTTAAACTTGCTATACATTATGCTAATAGCTTTTTCTTCTGATAGCGTGTAATTCTTTCATTTTTGAATGTTCCTAAGGTGAATTATGCACCGTCTAAGGACCAGTTGCGAATAGAAGTATAGTGCGAGAATTTTCGTAGTAAGTTGTTTTTATTAGGAGATGACTTATTTTTCATATGAAATTTAGTCGAAAGACATTAAGAAAATTCGTACCTTTTCAGAGAATTAAAGTATTAATTACCAATAACCATTATATACCAATATTTGTAAAGCGATAAATTTGAGAAAAGTGCTAGAAAGTTTTAAAATTTAAAAAAAAAGGTTAAAATATTACTTGAATTTGGCGAGGTATTTGACCAGTCTTAAGAAATTTACTAACTCATACAATTTTTTCTTATTGCTTACATTTTTTGCTGATTCTAATTGATTCCTTCTCGCCAATATATAATTTATTTTTCAAATGGACCATTTTTTTTTATAATTATTTCGAATTATTAAAAAAATTAAAAAATTTATTAAAAAATTTTATATAACTATTAAAACATTCTTGTTAAAATAAAAGAAAATTTTATAAAAAGAATATTTCTATGAATTGTTAAATATTTTTCTAAATTTTCATTTTTTTAGTAAACTTTCGTAAATAAAAAGATAATTTTTTATAAATAGATGATAATTCACAGAATTAATGCCTATTAAATCAAATATGATGGAAATTTTCGTTTTGGTTACTTATTTTTCAACCTTCTATTCCTACATTCTGTGCTAAATTCAATATTATGAAAAGATAACAAATGATTTTGAACCTTATTCGAATTGTGATTGTAAAGATGGCCGTTTTTTTATAGTAAAATTACAAAAATTATAATTTTATTTGAAGACTGAGTGATTCAATAGGTTGACTCAAACCAGAGCAACTTTGAGGTTTATTTCCAACAGGAGTAAGCCTGTTCAAAAATACTGGCAACTCACCAGTACTTCTGTCGCCAAGGAATTTCTGGCATATTTGTCCGATTCGATAAGCCAGCAGAATAAATCTAAACAATAATGGTGAGGATTGTTCAAAAAAAAACTATTTGAAGATAGATTTATAGAATTGTTGAATATCTATTGACTGATGGATGATAGAATTAAGTAAAACAACGAGTGGAACTCGCTCATTTTAAAAGGAAAATAATCATTAGGTCAGAAATAAGAAAATAAACCAGAAATGATGAAGCTAGTCAATGAACGAAAATAAAAAATTTTGCATGATTGGATGAGCATCGCATTTAAACTTCGACTTCTAGGTCAAATTTATCGAATCATTCCTTTCAACTTCTTCTTTTACCTTCTTTTTGTCCATCTGACTTCTTTCGTTCCTTCATTTGCTAGTCAAAATAGTGCTGAAAAGGAGAATGGAGAAGAATTCTCAGCTCTATCTTGATTTCATTTCTTACGATATTACGAAATTAATTTTCATAATATCATGTTATCGAATTTATTCTATAATATGTTTTAATTTTTTTTCCAATTTTTCCCTCATTTTTATTAGCTTCAATTGCGCATTATTGTTATCATTTATAATATTTCCAAAAATCAAACTATTTCGTTAAAAAATGTTTGAATAAGATTAAAAAATTTAATTATATTTATTACTTCATGAATAATTCGTTTTGCCCGATTTCTCAGTTATTACTTCGCTCTTCAGTGATTTAATTCTATCATCGACCATAATATTAGTTTAATTTTATAAATATAGCAAATATAATTCATTGCCTTTTTCTTTTAATGGCTCGCACCATTGCTAGTTTGGCTATGTCCACTGGTATTCAAGAAGAGCAATATTCAAGGCTGCAAATCTGATGCCATTTCTGAAAATAATTGAAACCAATCATTTATCTCATTTTTAACATTTTTTAACATTTTTAACGTTTTTTAAACATTTTTTGCAAGCGTTAATTTTGATCGTAAAGAATATTTATTTGAAAGGCCAAGTATTTCACTATTGCATTCATTAAATTTTATTACTCACATTACTGCCACGGACTCCAAGGTTCCAAGCATTCCAATTATATTAGTGTTAATTATGTTATACTACAAAGTGTTACCAGTATTACCGTTTTTCATTACTCACATTTCATTTAAATTATTAGTATTACTATACCTCTTTACCTTCTTCCTCCTTCCATCCAATCTTTATAAATTTCTAATATCTCTTATGAATACTTTTTTTTTTATTCTGATCAATTTGTTTTATCCTAATTATTCTTGGTAAGTTTCAATATAAAAAATGAATAAATATTAAGGAAAATATTAGAAAACTGGAAATTATCAATTACAATTTTAATTTTAATTTGGCAAATTAATCGATGTTTATTTAATTGGCTTTGATTGTATTAAAATTGACAAATTAATTATTAATTGGTTAAGAATAATGGAAAAAAAATATTAAATAAAGCCATAATAGTATTTAAAAAAAAACCACATGAACAAACTAAGTGAAAGTATCATAAAAATTTCTTCTAAGAACGTAATATTGTCAAAAATGATATTTATCGCCTATTTATGGCAGTGAAGTGGGCATTCGGCTCCGCTTTTTTAACCATTGTTATAAATTTACCGATCAAATTCGCCAAGGTTTGTTGCACAATAAAAGCACTGAAGCAGACTAATAGTCACCAAACAATCATTTACATTCGATTCACTTACAAAACTATTAATTTTTTTCGTAATATTTTCTTTATAAAGAAATTTGCATATCATTATATCATTATTTATAATTTTATCTTATTTTATAATTTTATAATTTATCTTTATATTTTATAATTTTATCTTAATCATTATTTATTTATGTATAAAAATTTGTTTGAAATATAATATTTTAAAAATGAAAATAAATCTAAAATTAATGATTAATTGCTGAAAACTTCATAAAAGATGAAATAATAACTGAATGTGGAGAATATACAAAAATTTTATCTCTATAGACTCTTCAAAATAGTTTAATTAATTTCTGGCTAAAACTGGCTAAATAGAATTAGCCTAACATTTATTAATATAATCCAAATAGGAATATAATCCATTAAAGTAATGAAATCTTATAACAAGGAAAATGATTATACTTTAATGTTATTTTTTATTCTGATATCTTTAATGTTAAGTCAAGATAAAACTAAAGAAGAATGAATTTTTGTTAATAAAAATTTTGTCTGTTGCTAAAGAATTTTTTTTTTAATTATATATAATAATTTAAATAATTTAAATAATTTTAAATAATAAATAATTTAAATAATTTTTATTTTCAAAGCTTTTGTCATTTTTAGTTAGCCTTAGAGGCTTGCTTAGCTGGTCAGATATGCGAACCAAACAAAATTGGGCAGTGCTACTTAACGATAGGAGTATAGGCCGATAGCCATTCATGTTTTTGAAAGATAGATTCATTCTTGCGGAGCGTCGGATCCAAGTATTAGCGTTCTAATTTGATACTAGCATTGATCCATTTTTCTAACTGCTAAAAAATTGATGAACTCGTCTAAAGTTCGCAAAATTTAGAAATTCTTTTTATTCAGTTTTTCCTGGTCATTATATACATTGATTCGTTTATTCGAATTATCTTATATCTATGGAGAATATCGGTACAAAATCAGATAAATCAGAGTAGAGGATATTTCCAGAATATCAGAACGAGTATTATTAGATCATTTCACCATTTTTTTTTTGAAGTTTTATTTCCCAGAGGAGTAAACCTTTCCAAAAATCCGAATGATGCTGAGACTCAACTGGCATATTTGTCCAATGCTACAAGCCAGCGGAGCGAGTTTAACCATTAATGGTGATGACACTTAAAAAAAAAGATTATTTCAACACAAAAGCTAGAAAATCTATAATAAAATAAGGGAATAAAAAGTGTAATGAGGAATTTTCTAAAAATTAGTCTTAATTAATTAATTAAATTAATTTTAAATATAATAAATAAATACGATAAATAAATAAATATTATCTAATGATGCTTTATTTGTTTTTATAAATTAAAAATATTTATTCTAATTTTTTTTTTCATTTCATTTTAATTAAAAATAACAAAAGGACAACTCGCTTCATATATATCATCGTAATCGTCGCCGTTCGTTTGACAATTAACGATAATTTTTGCGATTTGTACCATCAATAATGATTATCGTTAAACATTAACGACTATTGCGAAAATTTTTCGATAGACTCAGGTTTTTTTTTTAATTCGACAGTATCTGCAGAAATTCCTTTGTAGAAACTTTAATATTTTTTTTTTCCAAAAATCATTTTTTACGAATAAAAACAATACGTTTCGTTATTTATAAATTGAAAAGGATCGCAATTCTCGATTAATTTTCAAATAAAAATATTTCAAAGAAAATTTTGAATTCTTTTAAATTCTATATTTTTCAAGATTTTTTTGTTTTATTTTCTTAAAACTTTCGATGTTTTTATAGATTTTCATTTGCGCAGACTTTTGTTTGGTAAAGATTTCATGAAAAAATATTTTTTCTATTCAAATTTGAAAAAAATAATTTAAGACAAAAGATAGGGTTGAGTAATAATAATGATCTATTATAAGCTTTTCTGCTAGATTATAGTTTTTCAATAACATATTTTTGTTAATTAAAAACTGGAGAATTAGAAAACGGGAGATTAAAAATTTAGTACAAAAAAGAAAAAACTATTATGAACAAAACAAAAATAATTTGAGACAAAAACAACAAAATCTTATTTTTATCTTTTAATAAAACGATTATCGCCTGAGGCTAATATTTAAAAATTTAAGTTTTTCGTTGAATTATTTTACTAAATCAGCCTATTAGTCTATTTTGCTAAGCGAAAATTTTGATTATTGGCGCTTTAATTTGCTTTAATTATAATTTATAATTTAAAAAAAGAAAAAAAAGTTTTATTTTTTATTTGTTCAAATAATATAGCGCTTAACATATTATTTAAACAATATGCATGGTTTAAATAAAATAAAAAATTGAAAAATTTATTTTAATTAAATAAATCAAATAAATTCGCCTTGTGATCTCTTTTGCAAGCAATCAATTTTCGAATCGGAATTCTAAGATCGCATCGCGTCGAATGACAAAATTCATTTGGAAATATACATATTGAAAGGAATGCACCCCACTGTTTCCAATGTGATATTTTTAAAAAAACAAAGAAAATCAGAATATTCATTCAATGATAGGTTTAAAAAAAAAGAAAAAAAAAACGACTTTAATTGAAAATGTTAACTCTTTAAAATTTATGATTTTGAATTGAATATTAAAAAATTAAAAAAAATTTTCATTTTTATAATTATGAATTTCGACGTAAATTTTTAAAAAATAAATTAAATTAAATTTTTTTTGAATTTTATGATTTTAACGAATTGAATAACTTAAAATATGATTGCACACTTCAATGCGATAAATTATCGACGAAATCCATTAAAAAAAATCGCACTGTGTAATTTTTTTTAATATTTCTCTACAATAATTTTTAACTAATAAGCGATTCAATTGATTCATGAAGGAAAATAGAAATGATAAGGATTTTTTTCAATATTAGATATTAAATGATACTAGTTTAGCTGAATAGTTAATGAATTTTTAAGAACTTTCATCATTAGTGATTAGAATCGCTCTTTGTCGCTAATTTGTCGCGCGCAAGAAATATGCTAAAGATTCTCTTGCATGATAGAAATAAAAAATGAATGGCCAGCGTCATCCGGATTTTTTGGAGAAGTTTATTCCTAATTCGGAAATAGAAGCTCAATTAATGAATTAGAATAATGTTGAAAGAAAAAAATTTTATTTTCAATGCAAAATGAAAAATTTTAAAGCAAAAAAGAATTTTATAGAATTAATGAAAATAAATTTAAGCATGAATAAAAAAAAATTATCATCTTACACTAATATATCGCAAAATACAACTATAAAAGATATATTTTAAAACAAATTAAGCAAATTGGTGCGAAAATGATAAATATCTTTACAAGTGTATATATAGCGAAACAAAATTTCATTTCGATTTAATTTTTTCTACCTGTAATGATATTTTTAAAAAGAACCATAAAACATTCAGAAAGTTATTTAAAAAGTAAATTAATAAATAATACAAGTTATAACGAAGATTTTATAGTAAAATTAAAATTAACAATCAACAATAAACACCTATAAACGTTTAGTAATGATTTTTTAATGATATAAGCAATTCTATTTCAATGAGGCATTATAATGAATGATTTTCAATGAGGCGAATGAATAATATTTGTAAATTTGGCAAAAAACCATTACTAAAACAAGGTGCTTACAAATACAGAGAAGCGGTGAAAACTATATCACGCTTCATTTTCAATCTTGCAGTTTCAAAACGCTTTTCAAGATCCGTATTACCGATTGCTTTTGATGCATTTACCATCTGACGAAGTAATTCTTCACAACGCCGCATACAACGAATTATCGATCCTAGAAAAACAGAAAATATTTTGATTGAATGAATTAATAGCTAACTTCTCAACAATTTTAAATATGGGAAAAAGAAAAGAAGTAAACTGTTGAATAAAAAAAATAATCCAAAAATATGAAAAATATGGGGAATTACTAATTAAGCATCCACTAAAAAAAGTGCAGAAAGAAAACTTTTTCTAATTATTTCAATCATTTTTATATATAAAATTGTATATATATGTATAAATCCATATATACATACATACATACTAACCTTCAAAAACATCAGTCTTCTTAAGGATTTCAGCAAACGACATCCCAGTACACCAATTGTGTATGACATCCATTAAATGTGGCTTGAATGATGCGACATATTGATCCTCGTCAATTTCCAATTTAGATTCCTTAGTGATGCGAGCTATTCTTCTCGCATATTCCTAAAAAATCTATTTTAATTATTTATAAAAATTAAAAAACTTGCTTTCAGACTGAATTTTTCCTTTTCTCAATGTAGCATGTCAAGCATGAAGAAAAGAAAGCCCCAAACATATATTTATAAAATATATCATAGCAGAAGAGTATATATAGATGTATAAAATAACAAAACATTTACAGCGATTTTTATAAAAAACTAATTAAATCTAAAATTCAAAAGATATTAATTAATTTAAAACGAAAAAATCTGATATTTCATGAACGAAAAATTTTCATAAATATTCACTGAGAAAAAATACAAATAAAAAAGAAAAGATGGACATAAAAAGACATGAAGAACGTTTTTAAAAACAATAAATAAATTTCTTTGAGATTCGCGAGTGAAAATTTGTCATTTCAATAAAGCCGCAGTCAGAACTTTATCGAAAGTAAAAATATGTGGCAGAATAATTTATTGCGGACTAAATAAAAAGGCCAAATTTGAAGATTAATAACAAAGCATCAAAGAAACCATTAATTCACAATGCGATCTCGTGATGAACTATGAAAACCATTTAAAACCAGTTTTTATCTTAACAAAAATTAAATATTACAGTTGCAGATATAGGATTCATTGATTCAATTAAGATATAGGGAAAAATAGAAGGAATGGAAAAATAAACTGTAGTAGCGAAATTAAAGGAAACAAAGATATAATTACAAAATGAATGAATAAATGAAGCACTCCAAATATTACAAAATTATCTAACCTGCATTGATCGCAAACATCCACTTAATTCATCTGCAAGTTTCGTTGCCCCTTTTTTTTCTTCGAATACAAAACAAGATAAGAGAGCGGCTAATTGCGGTGGAGTTAGTTCAGTAAACAGTCCACCAAACATCATTTCCGTTAACATTAATTCATCAGCAGCGCTAATTTCACATGCAACGCGGCCCTTAAAAATGTAAATTTAAGAAATTCAAGAATTCTTTAAAAAAAGAGCACCAAGATAATTAAATAACTGAACCTTAGGTGTAATAACATCACTTTCATCGCAATATTGCAGTCGCCTTAATACTCTTTTACGACATTTTAGTTCATCCAACTGCAACAAATTTTGAGCTTTCTTCAATTCTGCTTTTGCTGATTTCAATTCTGCTTCTATTTCCAATTTTCTTTCATAAGCCTTATACAGATCATCAAAGTTCTTTTGCAACCTTCAAAATTAATTGATTATTTAAAGACAATGAAAGGACCAATGGAATTTCAGATACATAAAATAAAGAAAAATTGCCTGAAAAAATATAAATTAAAGTGAGGTGCCAACTACTATTAAACCTACTATTAAATTTTGAAAATAGGATAAAAAGCTAATTTCAAAGTAAAACAAAGCGGTACAAAAAAATGTATATTTGCCTGAGGGGATGAGTAGATTTCCTTCGTTCCAAGGCTTCTAATTTTGTTAGATTTTCTTCCAAATTAGCATCCCTGATTTTCATATCATTTAAAGGGTCCAGTGGTGGCATTATGTTATTGAAACGCTTTTTGACTTCCTTTAAAAATAAAAATACCTCAAAATCCTGTGAATATAGCCGAAATAAAAAATATTTTCAAATAGACCATTATTATTATAAAGCATTAAAAGTTTAGAGGAAAACTAGCATTAATAGCCCTTGCCACACTTTGTTTAGCCTCGAAGCTCTTCAAATTTTGAGGCAATTTAATCCTAACTGCACTTATTTCAGAGACACAGTCTATTGATATAGGAACAACCTGCAACAAAAAATTTTTAAATTTTGGATTTTAAATTTTAAATTTAGTAAATTTTGGAACAGTAAAAAAAATTGGAGGATAGAGTAATACATCTTACTTCAATAACACCTTTTTCTTCTGGTAAAGGAGGATGTAGCTGCGCGACATTCGAAACATCTCTGGCACTTTCAGCCGTAAGTAATATAGCCATATCCAGAACATAAATTATAGACGGACTCAGCGGATCGGTTGGGTTAGTTTTCTTGTGAAAATTTAATAGAGCAGCCCAACCAAAATCATGCTCCTTGGTCGTAATCTAAAACAAAAATTCTTGCACTGAGAAATATAATGTTGAAATTGCCATGAAGAACAGAAAAGATTAAAAAAAAATTTTGATAAAAATTTTAAATTAAAAATTTTTAATAAATAAATTTCTAATAAAAATAAATAAATTAATTAATTAAATAAATAAATAAATTGTAAATAAAAAATTCTAATAAATTATCGAATTTAAAAAACAACGAACACGAAGAAGTCGACCAGCTTGCAGAAATGGAACAATATGAACGGGCTTAGTAACAACTTTTCTAATTGTTGACTGCAAGAATTCAATTTGTTTGATCATTTGATAGTAGCCGGCAATTTCAATTTCATTTTCAACTTTTGTAGCAGCCAGTTCTTTCGTTTTTTTATCAACATCTTAAAATTATTATCTAAAGAATGATGGCAAACAGATATAATCGCATCTTAAAAAAAATTCAGAAGCAATTAATCGAGATCAAATCGTAAAAGAATTCATATTACTATTAACATTCTAAACAATAATATGCAAACTTTCATGTAGCCGAGGAAGAGCATCGTAATTCTGAAACTGATAGAAAGAATTCTGAAGCATGAACTCAGGATTAATGCCCTCCACTCTTAACAAATTTAAGACCATATTATAAGTAAGTCGAAATTGTGAATTTAATGGGTCAGGATCGCCTGAAATCATGCAATTAACAATTGAAAATATTCTTTGTGTTGCTCTACGAGAGAAATTTAATTAAATAATAAAAAAAGAATGAAAAGATAACTGACTGAAAAACTAGAAGTCGACCAGCTTGCAGAAATAGAACAATATGAACGGGTTTAGTAACAACTTTTCTAATTGTTGACTAACATTTTAAAATTCATTAATTAGCAAAACTAGCATTCATTTACTATAAGTGTCTGAAATTAACCTTTGATTATTTGTCTAGCTGTTTCTGATCCGAGCTGCTGATTAACCATTAGAATTACAAGACCTCTATCATCTTTACCTCTTCTTCCAGCTCTTCCACTCATTTGTATATATTCACCTGAGGTTATCCATCTAAAAATTTCAAATCAATTGAAAAAAAAGCTGTGAGCTGTAAACTTCACCTCTATATATTATGATCAAATCGCAAAGGCAAAAAAAAAATTTAGAAACTCGACTTACTAGCTAGTAATTTTATATATGTAATTTTATATATATGTAATTTATATATAAATAAATCTATACAATTTATATGTATATACACAATATAATTTAAATATAACATAAATACACAACATAATAATATATATAATATAATTTTATAAATAAATACCTGTAGTCTTTGCCGTCAAATTTTCTTGCTGAAGTAAAAAGAACTGTTCGGGCAGGCATATTTAATCCCATTGAAAACGTTTCCGTTGCAAATAATGTCTAAAAAAAAAGACTGAAGTTATATGGATTCAGTTTAATCAGAATTATTCTTTAACGATTCGTTAAATAGCTCATACTTTTATTAAACCTTCGCCGAAAAGAATCTCCACTACTTCTTTGATAATCGGCAATAATCCAGAATGATGTATACCCACACCGCGCAATAAATATGGTAATACTTGACCAACTTGAGGTAAATGTCGGTCGTCATCAGATAAAAGACTTATGGCATTCACATAAATTTCTTTAACGATTGTTTTTTCTTTTTCTGCAATATGCATTTCTTCAGATTACATAAAATTAAATATAACAAATTAAATATAAAACAAAATAGATCAGATTATAAAACAAAACATAATAAAACAATGATAGATAAGACAGAATGAGGAGTAAACAATCAAAACTACCTGGAGAAGTACCACCGAATCAAGGATATTAAAATTCAGACCAAAATGTACCATCTCAAGACAAAACTAAACCTGTATTGAAGTCCATATTCTTCATTTGAGTTGCATAAGCTTCACATTCCTTACGGCTGAAGGAAAATATGATACAAGGAATCATATCTCTTTCCTTGATTGTACGAATAATCTTCATTACATCAGAGCCACCTTAAAATGATAAATTTTTGAACAAAAATTTAGCGAGTGAGATCTTAATCAGATTAGCCAAACAGATTCGCCACCTTTCTCCGTTCCTTTTCGAAAATCACCTCGCCCTTCTTCACCAGCCTGTTTTAACCCACTCATAGCGTCTATAAATTTTTCTTCGCGAAACTGACCCTGAAAGTATCACTAAATCGGTTTAAAGAAAAAAATATTAACAGATTTTTAAAGATTCATGTAAAAAACCTGTATATTGACAACTTCATATAATCCTGATCCTCCAGCAGGAAATATGAAATGCTGAAGAGGCACTGGACGATAGTCAGTATAGACCACATGAACTGGTTGGTTGTGCAGATAGACGACCCAATCTTAAAATAAAAATCCTTAAAAAATAAAACAACTAGATTTTATACATATGAATTAAGTAATACATATAAAAAATTAGATTTTACAAATACTTCTTTTTCTTCTACTCTATATTCTCACCATTACTGGCTTTGCTGGCTTCACTGGCTACAAGGATAAGATGTTTCTAAGATTTTTAACATGGACAATCATATTCCATGTTTACTACGCAAAAAGAAAAACGAATAAAATGAGTATTCCAAATGGAGACAGCTATTTTAAAAAATAAAAATAAACTGACCAGCAAACTGCCTTGCATTTGGAATAGTCGCTGAAAGAAACACATAATGTACGTTATCAGGCAATAAAATGATCGTTTCTTCCCAGACAACACCTCGTTCTGAAAATAAAATTCTTTTCAGAATCTAAGAAATAATGAATTAATAATAAATCAAAAATAAATTCATAAAAATAAAAATTTTAACTTGAAAACAAACCTTGATTTCGCATATAGTGAATTTCGTCAAATATAACCCATCCGACTTCTCGCATAATTTCTGATCCTCGATAGAGCATTGAGCGTAAAATTTCTGTTGTCATAACAAGGCACGATGCATCAGGATTTAATGTCACGTCACCAGTCATCAAACCTATATCCTAGAATTCTATTTCTTAAATTCATAATTTGGAAATCCCCATTTTTATTATACAAAGTGTACTTGAAAATCCTGCAATTTAAATTTAGTTGAATGAAAGAAATTCCAAGGAAGTAATATTAGAGAAAATATTTGCAAACAATATTTTACCCCAAATTCTTCCTGTAATTCTCTATACTTTTGATTCGAGAGCGCTTTAATTGGAGATGTATAAATCACACGCTGTTTCTCCTTCAGAGCCAATGCGATCGCGTACCTAAACTATCGAAAAATATAAATCTGACCTGAAAATAAAATAGAACCGATGAGATTTGAAAAAATAAAAGAACCAAATAAATAATCTAATACATACAAAGCCACTGCTGTTTTGCCTGCTGAAGTATGTGCAGAGATCAAAACAGACTGAAGATTATCAATACACATTATGCCTTCTTTCTGAAAAGCATCCAACTGAAAATCGTAACTTTTGGCTGGTTCTGAAGTACGCGATACGAGCGGTGTGTATTCCATACCTGCTGGTACAACTACCTCAAAAATATTAAATTACAATGACGATTTAAGAGAAAATCAAGGATTTCACCATTTCTATTTAAAATTCTTATTATATTTTATAGATTATATATAGTTAATATAAAATGAAATAATTTTATTTAAATAACAAAAATATAATGGAAATGTGGGAATATAGATTCTTATTTTGTTTTTTTCGCTCTACTGTGTTACGGCAAGCATTACTGGCATTATTGATAATGAATAGTTGTTTTTTTCGAAGAATTTGTGAAGAATTAGGAAAACAATTAATAAATTAATAAATTAACAATTAATTAACAATTAGAAAATAATGACTAAAAACTACAAACTTCATGAGTACAGTTTCCTTCTACTGCAATTGAAAAAATCTGACTGCGCCTATAGTTTGCCAATTCAAAATTCACACTTGGTTCGTCATCAACTTTTTCTAAATTCAAGTAAAAAATGAGTTAACAATTGAAAAATAGTGAAATTTATAGAGTAAGTAAAATTAAATTATTTGAAGTAATGAATTTTTATTCTTGTATAACGCGTATACATCCAGATAAAACAGTAGATTTAAATTTAAATATCGCGATCTTCACAGTTCTTACAATTTTTTATTTTTTCCGTTGTTATTACAACAAAAGTCGAATGATACTTTTTACGCACATATTCGCAATTTTAACGGTTAACAACGACGCGAAAAAAAAAAAAAAACTATAATAAACCTTCCGTTCCGACCGTATTATTCGTTGTTTTCTTATCATCCAATCCTTCAGCGAGCATTTTAAGAAAAGTATCAGCATTCGTACGAGCTTCATTGACTTTCGCCATTTCTACCTAAAAATTATTTTCTGTACATTAATACAAATAATCAAAAAGTGATTACTCCATTAAGTCCTCAATATAATACAAATAAAAATAGTAAAAAATTCCTAAGATAAATTAATTTTTCTGGTGCTTTGTCCAATAATAACTTTAATAAAAACTCCTCTTTATTTGCGTATTTATTTACGTATAAATCAAGCAAATCATAAAGCTATAAGCTGGAATTTAACTAAATGATAAAAGATTTCCTTTTCCAAAAAAAATAAACAAATTCTCTACCAATGAAATAAAAAATAAAAAAAAAAAGTTCAAAGATGTTATAAATAAATAAACTGCGAAGCTATAGAAAGAAGGAAATAAAAAGACTGAAAAAAGTAAATAATAAATAAAAATAAACCTTTCGCATTGCTTGAAATGAGGCGTCGGATGGTTGGTAATCAAATGCATCAAATAAATCATCGTCATCCATGTTTCTATGAATAATAAATAATAAAGAAATAATAAAATTTTTTTTCTTTATAAATAAATAAATTACAAAACAAATAAATAAAATAATAAAGAAAATCTTTTGAGAAAAAATCGTTATCATTATCATTCTTATCATTTTCTAGAAATAACAACGCTAAAATTGTAAAAAAAAGTATTTTTCGACAAATGAACTTTTTTTTCCCTAAAAAAACAGATTAACTTACAATAATAAAAAAAATATTTTTTTAATAAAATAAATAAAAATATAATATATGAAATATATTTTAAATTTAACTTAACTAATTTTTTCAAATTTAATTTGTTAAATTTAAAAAAAATAATTTAAAATTTCTCTAAAAATATAATTTTTATAAATATTAAATTGCAAATTGCAAACATATTTATTTAATTTAATTATTTATTAATATTTATTTAATAACAATTTTATCTTATAAAATTAAACGAATATCCCCTAATTAGAAAAAACGCCTCGATATTTATTTAGAAAAAAGAAAGAGGAAAGCGATCTCAAAATAATATATTCCACTCCCGCGACTGATTATTAGTGAAAATGTTGACGATATCTAATCATCGGTTAGATTTCAGCTGGCAATAGCCAATGGTTGATAATCAAATGCATCAAATAAATTATCGTCATCCATGTTTCAACGCGGAAGGTCTAAAATTGCTGTGAATCATGCATTTTCGCTTTTTTTTAGCGATTATCAAGAGCATAGGCCAATTTCTACGATAAACATAAATAAATATTAAAAATATTGAAAATAAATAAGAATAAATATTAAAAATCTGTCAACAAGTAATATCTCTGTAAAAATCAGCAGTCTATCAGCATTCTGGTACTTAGCATGAGGAGAAGAGAGTTTTCCTCTTATAGGCTTAGGCTTAGGCTCCACAATCGAAAGAAATAAGAAGTCGAATTTTGAGGATAAGATATAGCCTCCATATAGATAAACTATATCATATCAATCAAAGTTAATAATGTGATGTCATCCAACACTTGCCATTAACCTTTTATTAATTCACAATCAAGATGAGGACACTATAAGATTTTCGAAAATATAAGATTTTTTAGGGCGGTTAAATTGATGACTACGAATATACTACGGATTTAGTAAATTGAAGAGAGTGCAGGAAGTTGGAGGAAAAAATGTTTGGTACGGCAGGTACGGAAAATTGTACGGAAGCCTGGTACTAATATATTAAACTGGATTTTTTTTGGATAAATTTCTAGCAATTTTATGTTCAATAGTCAATCACAATCGATAAATATAAATCTATTTAGGTCTTTGAATTATAATTTTTGACTCTTAAAACCGTGGAATTGGACTTCTTGTTGAGTCCATTGGGCTTCTGAATTTTCTGAATTCGTGGCACGCTTAGGTGTTAATAAAATGTATTATTTTACGCAATTTGTAGTATTATATTCATTTGCAAACTTTTAGATAACAAAATTTTTAAATATTTAAAATATTTTAAAATTTTTTTCGAAAAGAATGTCGTAAGAAGTTTGTTGAAAATTCACAAAATCATAAGATTTTCAATGCGATAGAATATTTTGTTTTGTAATGCGATTTGCGAATTCTTTAATTGACACAATTTCCAGCTAAATATATGATTTTATTCTTATCACTAATATAATAAAATTAAATATAATTTTTTGAGAGCTCTTAATTCAACAATTCTTTGTATTCTTTCATTGATTGATAAACTCATCAATTTAAATTATATTTCCCTTTTTTGGATATCTCTTCTGATCAAATAATCTTTTCACAATAGCTAAAAAAAAATATAAAAGAGTTAAGAATTAAAATTTTACTAGTTATTATCAGTTCAATAGGTATTGTTTGACGAAATATCCTCATTTTCGAGACATTTATTAACAGAAATATGAAATATAATAGTTTTTATTCGAATTTCCTTTTTTAAAAAATTTCATAACTGCTGTCGCTTTACTTCACTTTCTAATATGCTAAATTATATTATTATTAAAATGTCAAAATGCCAAGCTAATGTCAAAATTAATTAAATGGCAAAAAAGCCGAACTTCAAACCTGCCTTCTAACCAAGCACTAGCTAAGCACTTATTTTGCATTTCACTCCTAAAATAACGGAAAATCTAAAAATATTGGGTATTAAATATGAAATTTTCTTCGTTGGATGTCGATCAGCAATGCATATGAAATGTAAAAATTTCGGATTTTATTCGATTGAACTACTACTTCAAATTATCTATTAAATCTCTTGTCCTCAGAAAAGCATGTGGTAACAGAGTAGGATTAGAGTAATCTGCTTTCTAGGGTAAAGGAGGTTAAGCCAGTTATCTCTCAATTGGTGTACCAATTGGTGCCCCAGGTTTATATGGTTTTATAAGAAATCTCAATTAAAATATTCATATGTCATTTCGTAGTTTCAATAAAATTATTCGTGGATTTGTCTTGGTCTTATTATTGTTTATATCGTTTATGGTTCTTCTTTTTATAGCTTTTGTTATGGGAGGTGTAATTTTTGCAATTTCTGTAAGCGTTATTGTTCGGGAGGTGATTAGTCTCGTGTTGGCTCTAATAAGATCGGGTTTTTTGGATTTTTCCAGGCTGTTTTCGTTGGTATTAAAATAGTGAAAAAGGAGATTTCACTGGGTTGAAAGGTGTCTGTTTATGTTGATTCCTGGTTTGGCTTTTGTTATTAGGAATGTATATTGGTGTATTTAGGTGCATTTTTCTAATGATTTTTTTATTTTTTAGTATTCTATTGTTTTTATGATATGTTTTGTTGTATTTTCCTTCATTATCTTTCATTTAGTAGAGCTCTAAGGAAGCCTAAGGGATGTTGGGTGGCTTATATTTTTCATGACAATGGAGGTTATTAAGTGTTATCTTATTAAGTAGTCAGAGTGTTTCTAATGAAGTTATTTTCTTACGAGACTACGTGGAAACTATTTGCTTTATTTCTTTATTATGTCAAACCAATAGATTAAATATATAAATTTTTGAAATTTTAATTTTAATTTGCCTTTTTCCATCGTCTAAATCGATATGCTAAGTCACTATAGGTCCACTATAGGTTACTCTTATCCAATACGTTTTTCCTATGGTGCAGGTGTTGATTAGTGTAGTCCAAGTAGTTGATGAATTTGAAAATAATTTAATATGCTTGAAATTTTAAACTGGTGAAAATGATTGCTGTAACATGTTTCTTTATTATTTTCACATTCCAAAACTATATTTTTCCTAAGTTTTTTTACAAAATTTGATATTGAAAAAATGAAGTTTGATGTTCTTTAAATTTTCGTTAAATTTTTGCTACAATTTTCAGTCCAATTTTCACTAAATCGATTTTCATATTTAAAAATTTTAAAGTTACTTTTTAAAAAAAATTTTTCGTTAATTATAAAAAAGGAAAGTATTTTAAAATATTAAATATTAAGCATATTAAATTTTTTGAGAACCGTAAATGCAACAAGTCTTTGTATTCTTTTATTGATTAACGCCCTCGTTTTTTAAAATTATACCTCTTATAAAATATAAAAATTATATTTAGAATTATAATTTCTTATAAAATATAAAAATTGTATTTAAAATTATAAATTATATTTATGGAAATCTCTTTAAATCAAATAGCCTTTTTATGATATGAAATTTAAATGATAAGAAACTTAAGAACTGTAATTTTATCAACTTTTTCTCAGTTGAATACGTTTTGCTTTAATAAAATATTTTCAGAAATGTTGCGATTGGCAATGGTAATGTGGAATATATAAAATATTTAATAATTGGTGTTAAGTTTAAGTAAATTTTTTATAAATCTTCGAATTTTAATGGTTTATCTTATTACATATTTTATTTTTATTTGCACTGTAATTAATTTATATGAATTAGTTGCATTAAAAGAATTTTTAAAAAAAATGAAATTATACTATTCGTGATTTTCTCGTTCTTGTAGTTGGCTTATGCAAAACGGTGGATAAAGGTAATATAAAATATATAAAAGATTTAATAATTGGCGTTAAGTCAAACGCAGAATTTTTGTTCATATTGCGACGAATTTGTATTTCTATCGCCAAGGAACTCTGTGCCATATTTGCTTGGCCCGATAAGCCATTAAAGCGAGCCTTACCAACAATGTCTTTAAAAAATCGAATACTGGCAGATTCGAATTTCGCAAATCGGTTAATTTTCGATTGGAAGAAAATTTCGTTTTGTTTATTTTTATTGATTTGGAAGATTTAATATATTTTACAATTGGAAAAATATATTATTTTCCTTATGTTCTTTTTCCTTATTTTCATTACTTTTTGTCTTTTATATGTCATAAATTTTTCACAAGTTTGCCGAATTTAACGAATTTTTATAGCGTAGTATTTCTAAAAATTGGCGAAGGCTTAGTTAGTTGGGATCCTTCAAAATTTAATTATTTTGTTTCCGAAAATTGCTTTGGTGCTAAATACACATTAAACATTGGTGATAAGTGATTTTCTTGATTATCGTGTTTGAAATATTATTATTGTTTTTAATATTATTATTATCATTGTTCTTATGCTATCTTTATTCTGTTAATCCTTGAAACTTGTCACAATCATATTCGATGTTCCTCACTCGAAGCTCTTCTGCTATTCTCTTTTTAGACGTGACTTGGCCGAATTTCAGATAAAATGTACTGATTGCTTCTATATAAAACACCAATAGCTTACATAGATCTATCGAAATATACCTCTGGTACGTTTTGAAAGATGAAGCCAGCGACAGATTGTTTTGGAAAAATAGTACATTTCTTAGTTAATCTTCCCGTTTAGATGTGCTTAATTCGATCATTGCTATTGAAAAGAGACCGAAGCATACGCAAGTAGGTGGATTTTCCATAAAAAATGCCACATTAAAATTTGATCGGTTTTTACCTCAATTTCATGTGATATTGTTTTTTATTTTTTTGCAAATTATGAAATTATATTTAAATTTATATTTATATTATATTTAAGCCGCAAAAAAAGATTGGAACTCACAAATCTTCCATCATGGTCAATGGCAACGATAAAATCTTCCTAAAGTTAAAGACTTAAGAAAATAACCAAATGTCGCGTAGTAGAAAAAGCTTCATAAATAATCGACGAAATTTTGAAGCTGATTTTTGCTTCTTGTAATTTATTTTCGTCTTTAACCTTTTTCTAAAGCATATTGGAACCTGCAAATGGCACAGGAAAGGAAAAAAAAAAACAGCGTGGTGGACAATTTCAATTGTCATGCAAAGTCATAGATCGTCGTCTCTCGTTGGATTCTAAGTTCTTCGTGGAAGAACTGATAAAAATGATAGTTTTTTTCGTTTTGACTGCTGAATATAGCTTGGAATATAGAATGGTTCAATTGTTTTAATATCGCACCGGCGGTACTGCGCTTTCAATTTCAGCATTTTTAGCGATCCACTAGCACATCTTTCACCGAAAGAGTCCCTAGCTAAATTTTTCTGGTCTAATAAAATTACACGACTCATCATCACGGAACTTAAACTGATAAGCTTAATGAGTTCATTTTATAATTTAAGACAATTAAAATTTTTTGAGGAACTGTAAATTCAACAAATCTTTATATTCTTTTATTGATTTATAGTCTCATTATTTTAAATTATATCTCTCATTAAATCAAATTGTCTATATTTTAAAAAATTCAAAAAATTATTTTAAAATCTTATCAATTGTAATCAATTTACTCGGCTTTGCCTTATAAAATATTATTCTTTTTCCAGTGATTTATTACTAAAATATATTTTAGATTTCGTAACGAACACCATTTATCTATCTTTTGCATTATTCGCTATCAGCAGAAATTAATTTATAAATTAATTAATTTATAATATGGGATATGATTCGCTCGGCGAATCCATAAAGTATATCATATCATACACAAATAGTCACGGTAAGATAACTACTGCTTAATATCCTCTCACTGTCATGTAGTAGCTATAGTCTTATAACAGGATCGAGCGAATTGCAGCCGTTGACTGGATTCTCACTGGATTTTTTGACATTCCTCTTTGGAGAATAGGAAGATACTGGAATGTGATGGCGACTTTTGTATTACCAAAAATCAATGCATTAAAAAATTAATCAAGCGTGAAGGTATCGCCGTTTATCTTAGTATGGGCCTTCAGAGGGATAAACTTTGGCTAGAAACCACTAGAACAATTCCTTTCTCCCAGCATTAGTTCTTGAAAAATTAGCGACTATTGGCTAATGTAGGAAGTATTCTAAGCATGAAAAGAGTAATAAATAAGAGAGCAAGGTATGCACTGTCTTTTGAAGAGAGTGCTATAGAAGTTGTAGTAAAAATTAGATACTATTAGATGATTATCAAAAATTTTCTAGGGCGATTAGATTGATGACTACGAGTATATAGATTGAGTAATTTGAAGAGAGCATAAGAAGTTGGAGAAAAAAGTTATTATTTGAAATTGTACGGCAGAAGCCTGGTTCCAACAAATTAAACTGAATATTTTTTTGTATATCTTTTAATTTCTCGCAGTTTGATTATCAATGGACAATTGTAGCCGATAAATATAAATCTACTTGGATCATCTTTAAATTATAACCTTTGAACCGTGGAATTGGACTTCTTGTTGAGTCCACTGGGGTTCTGAATTCGTGGAACGCTTAGGTTAATAAAATTATATTATTTTACGCAATTTGTAGTTACGCAATTATATTCATTTGCAAACTTTTAGATAAAAAAATTTTTAATATTTTATTTAAAATTTTTAATATTTAATTTTTTAATATAAATATTTTAAAATTTTTATATTCATGGAAATACTATTGCACTATTTGTGTGGTTCATGGATTTTTTTTCGATATTATTTCGAATAGTCCATGAAAAAAAAAAAAAAAATTTGTTGAACATCGGCTAACAATCGAACTAAAACTAATTTTTTTTCGCGAAAATTAAAAAAAAGTGCGAACATAAAATAAACAATGATTGTTGAATTTTTCACTAACTCGAACTCTTTGTATTTTTCATGTTAGTAGTGTATGTTCGTGCAATTCAATAATCAGTAATTTTTAAATTCAACCTTTTTTTTTTAAAAAAAAAAAACAAAATCCATTTAATTCAATTGTAAATGCATTTTTGAAATGATAATATGGCAGTATAGCGTTAAATAATAATAAAGCAGTGTAAAATAGCAGGGGAAAAAAAAAAGAGAAAATGAAAAAACAGTGTGAAACTAGTATAAAAGATCTGAACGTGTGAAATTTGATCCCAACATATACATAAATAAACCAATCGCTATTTCATTAAAACCAATTAAAATCATTTCTTTCGGCAGCATTGTTGAGCCGTTCCAGAAACACAAATCGCAAAACCGACTGGACACGAACATCCACCTTGTGCGGTCATTTGGCAAGGAATATTCTCTATTGGATTGTATTGCAGATCTTGACTGTATGGTAATGGCTGATATGGCGCTTGAGTATATGCTTGTGATGGTGGATATTGTAGTGGAATAGGCGCAGAGGAACATGTTTGAGTGCATGTTGAAATGCAGGCTGGTGTGCATTGATTAAGTGGATAATTTTGGCCAACACATTGCTGTATGCATGATTCTTGACATACATTCATGCAATTTGGTTGTTGTTTAATCGATTCGGGCAAATCGATTTGAATTTCATTAGGTCGAGTGATCGGTGTTGGTTGATTCTGTATGCATTGTGCAGTGCATGAAGGCATACAAGCTGGAGCACAAATGACGATTGCAGTTGGCTGAAGCACCTGTATTGGTGTTTGCGGACTTGTTAAGATTGGAACGGGCGTGGTTGGGTAAAATGGAAATGGCGTTGTATAGGGAGGTATTGACGGATAAATTGGATTTGGCATAGCAGTCTGTTGTGCACATTGAGATCCACAAGCTGGTAGGCAAAGAATCAAACAAATTGGTTTTTGTTGCGCAATTGGAGCAATGGGATTAAATTGAGATTGCGGTATGGGAGCAGCGCCATCACCAATTCTTTGAATACATTGCGGTTGACATGATGGCATACATGCTTGCATGCAGCCACTACTTTGTTGCGTTGGAACCAAATAATTTGTCGGGCTGAAAGTTGGTTGAAATTGTTGTATTGGTGCGTTTTGCATTGTTGGCCCACTGAAATCACTGAATCACTTTCTACATTATAATTAATTTCACTAGGATTTTATGCAAAAAATTGCCCTTTGCTTTGCCTCTTAGTTTATAATTCATGAAAAACCAATTCCGATTTTATTTTTAAAGTTATTTATTTTACAAAAAAAAGGAAAATTATGATAGTTTTTTGATAAAAATTAAAATTAAAAAATATTAGCTCAGATGTGATTCAAATTTCAAATAAAAATTGAGAAAATAAAATAAAATATAAAGGTTGAAAATTGAAATGTGATTGCGATGACTCAATAAAATAATAAATTTTTCCATTAAACTAGCACTCACTTGAAATATATTTTATATAATACTTCTTTATAATATTTACCTAAGTTTTTTTTTTATTGTAAAATATTATTCATTGTTTCTTTTGTAAAATATTATTTCTATGAAAATTATAATAATAATAATAATAATAATAATAATAATAATAATAATAATAATAATGATATCGTATAACTTAAGGTGGAATTTTTTACAAAAAAAAAACAAAAAAATTTAATTTTATTTAATTTAAATTTAATTTTATAGAACAAAATTTTTTATTTTTTTAAAATTCAAAATTGAAATTCGAAAAAATAAGTAAATATTTAAATTTTATTCATTTTTTTGAATTGATTAATTGTTTAAAAAAAAAAAAAAACAATAACAATTTACCATGATTCCATTTGACATGGATTTGGTGCAAAAATTTGTCTTGGCCCATAAACTGGTCCTGTGCCATAAATTGGTCTCGGTTGTGGTCTTCCTCCACCACCCCAATAACAATTACATCCTCTATTTTGTACTGATATACATAGACATAATGCATTGCAACATTGATTGTATTGACGTTTCGCTCGAACCAAGTCTTTCGTTTTCTATAGCAATTAAGCCATAATCCAATTAATCCAATAATGATAATAATTTTAAAAAATGATAATCAATGAGATTCCTAATAATAAAAATAAAATAAAGTTATTGTTATTTATTGGTTTAATTTTTTATTTATTTTTTATTTTAATTATCATTTTATTTTTTATTTTACATTATTTTATTTATTACTTTATTTCATTTATCACTTTTTTGTTAATATTATTGTATTTATTTATTATTTAATCTCCTTATTTTGAAAATGCAAGCAAAACGGTCAGTCACTGATCACGTGTAAAATTATTATATTTTTGTAAAATTTGTATAAATAATAATAATAATTTATATTGATATATAATATATAAAATATATAATAATTTCGGATTGACCGATTTTTTTTACTAATTGAGCCATTTTCTAAATGAATTAAAGAAATTTTTTTCATAATTTTAAAGATAACATGGCAAAAATTAGCTAAAATATTGGTTTAGCTGAATGTTTTCAGATTGATAGCATCGGCTCGAACACTACTCTCGACAAGCGCAAACCTGTCAGATTCGAATAATGGTATGGACTCACATGCTTATTAACATATTTCTATCTTCGTTCGACCCCTCGACGAAAGTTTTTCGTCTTAATAAGTGACAGTGGTGCAATGATGAGAGCGCTAATCACATACTTTTGTCTTATTTGTTTATATAAAAATGTATTTCAAATAAAATTTTACAAATATTATTTCAATACTTAATTAATGCTAAAAAGATCCATGAAATGAATTAAATATTCTAAATTTTAGGCATTCGTTTAATCTTATGAAATCTCTACACGACAAATGAGGAGATTATGATAAGAATGATAATCAATGAGATTCTTATTTTATAATCATAATTGATAATTGATTAAATATAGAAAATATGAGAAACAAACTTCCTCAGCGCGAATAGCAGAAAGAAGGAGTAATGAACTAAGGACACCAGCCAGCATTGTCGATTGACTATGATACTATGCAACACTTGGTCTTCAACATTATATAAAACTAGAAAAAGCTAGTTTAAACAAGAAGTTTGTAAGGCAAATATGAATCCAGCTAGGAAGTCGCTTAACTGAACCAGTCCGACTGAAGACATCGAGAATTTACCATTCGTATTTTCTCTCTTAAAAACCGCAGTAATCTTCGTTGAAACGATGATTTGTACTCAATAATGAAGACCATTTTCAAAAAAAAAAAAAAAAGAACTATTGACAATTTCTTTTACTAAAAGAATTTTTTTTTCCTCTGATTTTAATTTCATATCCTAAAAATATAAAAAATATCTTAGAAAATATATATTTTCAATTTCCGCTAAAATATAAAATAAAATAAAAAATAATATCTTTTTTTGGTACTTTTTTTTTTAAATGGCTTCTAACTATTCTATTTGTTTTATTTTTAAATTTTTTCATAGAACTATCAATTATCTACTACAAGAAAATTATTTTAATCATTTGTTGTTGATAAGTTGTTATGGAATTCAAAAAAATTATCAGCAGTTTTCAAAATTAAATTAAATTAAATTAAATTTAAATGATTTTATTCCCAATTATCAGTAATATATATATAATTTATAATATTGTTATTATATAATATATAAAATCGCATGATATTTCATTGATTATCTTATCTTTCAATCTATTTATCAATCTTTATCATTTTTGGTGAAACAAATGAACTATAAACGAAAATTTGCTTTATTTTTTTCTATATTCTTCAAAATATCATTTTTTCTAAGAAATTAGGCTCAAGCCAATATAAGAATAGGCAATAGGTTGAAAGCAATGAATGCATAAGGAAAATCTCTAATGAAAATTGCAAATTTCATTAAGTATATATTTTTTATATAAATGATTTTTTGAACTGTTCTAGCCAAAAATCAAAATCAAACAAAGGATAAAATAATTTTCGAAAATGATAAAAAATATTTTGAAAATGTTTAAAACAAATATTTAACAATTTTTTGTTTTTACAGCAATCATTCATAATTTTTTAAATGAATCTGAAAAGAATTTTATTTCACAAAAAATAATGAATTGAAGGTGAATTTTTATCAGTACATTTTTTTTATCAGTAAATCAATCATCTCAATCAACACTTTGATAAAATAATTAATTAAATCTTGAGTGCAAAATAGAGGAAAACCGTAACTCATTCAAATCTAAATGAAAAACTATTTGATAAAGTGATTACGTTTGAATTCCTATAAAAAATTATGTTATAAATGGAGTTAGTTTTCGATTTGGATAAAATAATATGATAATATGAATAATATCAGCTGTTCTGCTTATCAGTTAATTAAGCTCATGCTAAGCTCATTATCATGCATTAAGAGTATTCCTTCTACCTATGTCTAACATAGACAGTTTTAACCATGTGGCGCAAAGTGGCAGAATTTTAGATTTTTCCGGAATATTAAGTGAAGAAACTTTTTATTTTCATGTTAAAAAAAACGATAAGTGCTTATCATATAGTTAGACTCGCTGTGGTGATTTGTCAATTTCGATAATTACTATTAGTGGTTTGGTGATAGAAATACAGGTTGATGGTACCATCGCCTGTACGATCCGAGCTGAGAATTCAATAAGGAATTTAACAACAGATTGCCATGTGATTAACAATTCCGCTGTGAAATCTGTCTCTCGAGAATCTCTCGAAGGATATCGAATTATTTAATTAAGCAGATTGACAAAAAAACATGACCGAATTTTCTTCGACCCGCCTGATCGAAGTTTATAAGTTTGAAGCCGAAATGAGCTGAGAGAGACTTTGTTAATTACTGCTTCTGCCAGGCTTTTTTTACTTTTTTTTTGTGCAAGTGGAGAGGGGTTGGGGGGGGGGGGTTAAGTATTTGCCGTATTGTTGTCTGTATTATTTCTGATTTTGTTTTTTTATTTTTTCATTTTCACGAGTAATGAATTATTTCTAATTTATTGATCGTTCATTCAATTTATTTTTGGTACTTTCGCAATATCCCCAATAGTGGAAGCATATTTGTTATAGCAGTGAAAAAGACCGATGGGAAATTGTCGGGGTTAGGAGAAAACAGGCAATAAGGTGAACGGGGAGAGGAAGGGGTAAACCTATTCAATTCATTAAAACTGATAAATTAATAGGAAATTACCGGCAGGTATTGCGAAATACATTGTTTTCAGTGTTTTTTATAATACGAAAAAAAAGAAAGACAAATGTTAACAAATGCTTAAAAAAGAAAGAAAGAGTTCTAAATAGCTCGCATCACTACTGGTTAACCGGTTCGCGCCGCTGGCTAACAGGTTCGAGAGGATTTGATTTCCTGGCGTGTCGATTCGGCACCATATTTATAAGATTTATAAGATTACAAGTAGCGAAATAATGTGATTTAATGGAAAAAAAATTATGAAAATATATGTCTAATGAGGTGTGAATTTTATAGGTACCACTCGTACGACTCTGGTTTTGGTACCTCACTTTTTTTTGAAAGAAATACAATGTTTCAGTTTGCGATGAAATTTTAGGAGATAAATTTTGTTTTTTTCAAACCGGTTTTTTTATATTTTACAAGAATTTTTTTTCCTCTTTTTATTTTCGAGTGGTTCTACTACAGTGCTAATACAATCGTATTGTTTTTCTAATGATCAGCTTTTCGAAGAACGATTTTTTTCGCCTTTTGAATGATACAAATTATAGGTTTCACACCAAAGACTTTTTTTTTTTTGTTGACATGACAATTTAAATAAACTGAAGTCTAAGAAAACTTGCAAAAAAAAAAAAAAAGAACGAATCTTAATCGTTTTTTAGAAATCGTCCGTTGAAAATGTTGCAAAATCATCTGACGGATGGATTTATGAACGCTATGGATTTCTTTGTGATTCTATGAAAGAGGCGATTCTGTTTAAAAGTTTATATTATAGATTCCTTTAACAGTTTGGCTACTAATTTCTTCGAGTGCTTACATATCTTTGCGAGTTTGGCGTCTAAGCATTACGGATATAGTTAAGAGTACCATGAATAGGAGTCTTTCATTAGTGTACAGAAATAATTTTTTCACATCGATGAAATATCCGTATTTTGTTGAGAGAAAAATGATGATTTTTTGCAAAGCTGAATTAGTGATATTTAAAGCCAAGCAGATTTTGATTCTTTTCTGATTCTATGAGTGATAAGTGATAAAAATTCGTCATGAATTAATATTTGATATTGTTGATTTAAAAAACCCCATCTAGGCGTGGCAACATAATGTGCTCTCGTCTGTAAACACTTTTGCAAGTATTTATTCATTAACTAAAAAGAGAAAAATAAGTGATCTGGTTTTATCGTAGATTATTATTGTTTGAAACTAAAGTATGTTGTTTTTTTAAACTAAAACATTTTTTGTTTTTTCTTTTTCTTTTGTAAATATTCTTAATAATATTAGAATTTTTAGATTTTGGAAAAAGAAAAATTTTTTAATTCAAAAATAGAATAAAATAGAAATGAAATGATTATAATATAATATAATATAATTTATAATATTCAAAATTTTAAGAAAAAAAAATTTCTAATCGCGATGCTACTCAATGTTCTGATCGTTTACACAATTGTGGTTCTTTATACGGAGGTATCCGTTTTATTTCACTTTAAGGCCTTTAATTTTTTGCATTTCCTCTACAAGAAATCGAGAATCATTAATCCACAATTTTGAGCTGAAATATTCGAATACTCGGAAATTGGTAACGTAGCAGTCTTATTGGACATATTTTAATAAATTTTTCTTTTCTTTCAAATTTTTTGATTTTACTGATAAGAAATTTCATTAATCAAAGAAATTGATTAATTTTTAGAGATTCAAAGGAAATTTGAAATTCTATTAATTTAAGAAAAATATAATTTGTTTCTTTGAAAAATTTTTGTAGAATTTATTTTCGTTATTTTAGTTTATTTGTTTTCTAGTTTTTAATTGGATTGTTGGATTTTAAAGAAGGCAATGTTTTTTTAGGGAATTTGACATTCTCAATCGCCCAGTTTTTTCCATAATATGAAGGACTATCACTAATATAAAACATTTATAGTTTGTTTTGTTGTGAAACTTGATTTAAGTGGTTTATGATTTTGATTTAGGCGATTAAAGAATATCTTATTTTCTTCTATGACTAATTAATCGATTTAATTAAATATTGAGCAATTAATTTTTCTAATTTTTTTTTCTTGTAGATTTCCATTTTTTTTAAATTTTATCAATTTGAAAATTATAATAATTTGGCATTTGATCTTTCTTATCATACATATATTTATCGATAATAATATGACTTGTTATTTGACATAAATATTCCAATTTTTATTTATTTATTAATTTTAGGCGAGTGAAAAAAGTAGCGGAATGCCGATGCACGCAGTTGCTATTTTACGAGGAACAAATGTCGATGGCGAAATTAGATTTATGCAGGTAGATATTTTATTTGAAATTTATTAAATTCTACTAACTTTTATTTCATCATTTCGTCCCGTTTTTTTAAGAGGAATTTTCGGAAAAGAAAAAAGTTGAATTTTCCTTTCTGAATTCGTTCATTCATATTTTTTTAAAATTTTATTTTATAAATTATTTTTTCTCGTGAAAAATTAATTAATTTTATCCTAACTGTAGTGGTTATTTTTCACATTTTCATTTATTTTTAAAGAAATTTTATTTTTCGATTGTTTATTTTATTTAATAGGAAAATGAGGGATGCCCAACGATGATCGAAGGTCATATAAGTGGACTCAGTCAAGGTCAACACGGTTTTCATATTCACCAATACGGTGATTCGAGAAAAGGATGCGATTCAGCTGGGCCACATTTCAATCCTTTTGGTAAAACACACGGCGGTCCACAGGTGAGGTTAATAGTTTTTTTTTAAATTGCTAAATTGAATTTTAATAATTTTAAGTTTTGAATTATCAAAACTCATTTTTCATTACAAAGTTTTCTTGGAGATTTGATGGTTTTGTAAGGTTATAATTGCCTATTATAAATATAGTATTTAAATTGTTTGGTTTGGTACCGTTAATAAAATAGTGAAAGACCATTAAAAAATAAATCTGTGAATAATCACAGAATTATTATAGAAATGTGAATTTTTTGTCGAAAATTATTTTTTTGTGATTTCGTTCATTATAATTTTACTGAAAATTTAATTTTTATGCATGGATAGTCTTAAGTATGTTTAATTTAACTCATGAGTAAGTGATGATTGGTTTTGTTTTGTCATTATCTCAAGCTCTTTAAATCTCTAGTCTTAGAAATAAATGTCTTTTATGACTGATACAAAGATATTGCTCGAATAAGGAAGATTACTTAAATAATATTTGAAACATTTAAAAGGTCCAGGGATGGAATGGCTCAGTGGCCATTGTTGCCCAATCCCGATGCTGAGGTTCGATTCTCCGCAGGAGTAAACCTGTCAAAAATTCCTATAAACCTGTTGGTGCTGGCGGTTTGCCTGTATTTCTATTGCCAAGGGGATCTCTGACATATTTGTCCGTTGCGACAAGCCAGCAAAGCGAGTCTAACCAGTAATGATGAAGACTCTAAAAAATCAGTTAAAAATTAAGTCTTACTGTATTTTCTACGTCACATTACGAAGGAATCCTTTCAGAGATTAAGACAAGCAAATTTTAGCAATATTAAATATTCTAAATATTATCAATAAAAAATACTCTAGGATGAAGTGCGACATGTGGGCGATCTTGGTAACATAGTTGCAGATGCGAATGGTGTTGCAAATATCAAGATGTCGGACCATTTAATTCAGGTCCGTTCTATCCTTTCATTTTGGACTTTTCACTTTTTTTCTAAATTAGATATTGTGTTTTTTTTTTTGAAAATAAATGAAAACGTTCTGCTTGTTAAATTTTAAGTTCAGTCATTTAAATTTTTGTTAATAAAAATTTTCGTGGGACTGAATTTGCGTAGTATTTACTTTAAATTAGTGATACAATAGCCGTTAAAATAAACGACGTAAATCGCATAAGTAAACATAGTTCTGATTTTTCCCGAAAGACGAGAGATTTTATCTTTCACTTGAAATTTTTCTTGTTTTTTTTTTGTTTTAAATCATGTTTCTTTACAAAACAAAAATTGCATTAAAAACACTTCATAGATTCTAGAACAATCTTTACCTAATAATTACACTGCAGAAGAATGAGATTTTGTTAACATTGTTGACTCACAAAGTAATACAATGACCGAATATAATACTTGTAAATATTTAGTCTCGTCTATATATTTTATGCTTAAATAAACAATTTACTTTCTAAATATTAATAAATATTAAAAATTGAAAACAAATATTTCTTACAGCTTCATGGAGTGAATTCTGTGATTGGTCGTGCTATGGTCGTTCACGCAGGCATTGATGATCTTGGAAAAGGTACGGGTGATAAGCTGGAAGAAAGCAAAAAAACGGGAAATGCAGGTGCTCGTGTTGCTTGTGGCGTTATTGCATTAGCTGCTGGTCAATGAAACGCTGGTTTTCGATTCTTCATCATTTAAAATTTTAGTCGACTTTTTTCTGATATAATATATCGTTGGTTATTTTTTAATGCATTTTTTTGATTTAATTCGCCAATAAAATTTTGATTTTCATCTCGGTTTATTCTTCTAATCGACTAAAATTAATTATATTGGTTAAATAACGAAACGAACTAAAGTAAATATTTTTTTTGCATCTTATATTGCGCAATTTGTTCTCTATTTGCTGAAACACGGATCTGTTTGTTGAAAGAGAGAAATTCATTCGAACGTTTATGCTCGAGCTTTCAAATAATTTGCCTTAGGGGTTTATGCATTTGGCTTATTTCCTTACATGACAAATTGGATTTTTGGCTCAGCTGTTTTTTATTTTCTATAAATAATAAATTGTGTTTCGATTATGTATAATCGCCATTTTCCCTATTTTTTCCTGGCTATTTTCGCTGATTGTTGCTTTATTGTTTACAAGCGAATCTATTCGCGTAAATGGTGAATACCAATCGCAAATTGATAATTGTTGGAAATAAGTTGTGTTTATTTATTGTGAAATACGATTACAATTGTATTTATGACAATTGTGACAATTGCTGGTTAAATTTCCATTAGCTCTATTCTATATGCAATGAAATATTTCTAAGGTATTATAAGCAGTAAAAATATTTTATTGAATATATAAAAATATAAATATATTTATAAATAATAAATAGTGTGTAATAAATAATGTATAATAATGTATAATAATAATAAATATAATAAAAATATACAATAAATAAATTAAATTTGTGAAAAAATATATTTATATTCATATAGAAAAATAGATTTATAATAAATTTTATAATTATATAATTATAATTATTAATAATTAGGTGAAAATTTTTAATCACATCGATCAAACAAATGAATAAATAAAATTAGAATTTAAAATTAATCATAAGAATTTTAGTATTTCCCATAATATTTCATCTAAGAATATTCGCTATTTTTTCATTAGCCATTTTTTTTTCCGCTAATTTTCGCTTGAAATAGGCAAATCAAATCATTTGGTGAATAGAAAATTTGAATTTTTAAAAGGTAAATTTATTTACTTCATTTAATTTTTGCAGCGATGATGTATAAAATAATTCATTAAATCTATTCGAATTGGGAGATTTGCAATTTTTTTTTTTCTACAAATATAAATTAATCTATTTAAATTCGATGAAAAATTAAATTACGTCTGTCTGACTTTTTCATTGTTTTATTATTGAAAGATATTGAAAAATAACGAATGAAAATCGCGAAAATTAAAACGGAAATATGAAAGGTGAAAACAATGAAAATTTGACATCGATGATTTTTTATTTTTCTATTGGAATAGTTTAAAGAATTGTTTTTGGTATTTCATTAATTTTATTTTTTAAATATATTTATTAATTTAGGCCACAAATTTGAAGAATAATTATTTTATTCGCATTCAATTAATCTATAAATTTATAAAATTTTCCTATTTTTTTATTTTTTGCTTATTAATATTTATAATATTAATAATATTTTTATTTAAAAATATATTAATATATTTAATGATGAAAATATTTAATATAATTTATTATAAAAATAAAATTATTTCGATTACTATTATAATTATTTTTAATTTGCTAAGAAAATTTGAATTTTCATTTGATTTTTGTAATATACGATTTAATAAATAAACAAATTTTATTTTCTAAAAATTTCATTTCAAAAATTATAAAATTAATTTCTTGAAAAAAAAATAAGCGATTAATTATTTTGATTAAGGCTTTACTTTGTGGCTATTTATGTAGATTAGAAGTCCTAAGAATCTTTTATGTACTATGGACACCTCTGGCAGCTTAGGCCTCTTCTTAGCTGAAATCAAATTTTGTATGTGCAATTCAATTGAAATATAATAGAAAATATGGTTTCTACGCTAAATTTAACGAAATTAAAAAACTTTTGCGTTTAACTGCCAATATTCATATGTGAACAATGCAAATGGTGAATTTTGGTGAAAGAATGTGGTGATAAGAGAAAAATTTTTAGCAATCGAAGCTCAACGATTCAATGAAATCTACTCTCAGATAGCTGTAGAGTTTGACGTTAAAAACCACTGAACTGAATAGTATTGTGGAAGAATGTCTTTAAAAATAATATATATGATATAGAAATGTATGCGCATTAGAATCGTTAATTGGTTTCCCCAAATTAAATCCAGCCTCGAGGCTGTACACCACGTATATTCTTGTGGAAATTTTTAACAAAAGTCAACAGAATTCAATAATGGTGAACCACTGATAAACTACTGATAAAAGAAAGAAGAAAGCTGCACCAGGCATGAACAGTAAAAAGTTTCTATTGACTTTTTCGAAAGGTTTTATAAATCCATTCATTTTTCAATTTTCAAGAAAACTTTTCACTGCAAGACAAGATTTTATTGAAAGTGAGAAATTTATATTTTTTCAACGGTTTTTCATATTCTATAATATTTATCTTGACAAATAGCAATTAAATAAATATTATTTTTTTCAGCGAATTTAATTTATTACAACAGTAAAACAATAGTTGGATATCAGGCGGAGCGAATATAATCATATAAAAAATCATTTATCACATTCTAATAATATTTCGAGCAATTACATTATATATTGTTCTCAATTCTATTGTAAAAAATTTTTTTTTATTTATTTTATTATTTTAACCTTTCATAGAAATAGTTTACATGAAATAGGAATTAACATAATATAAACAAATAATTAACATATGAACAATAACTGATAACTGAACAATAATTAATAACTGATGATAATTTTTTTATCATTTAAAATTTTTCTCTAAAAAAAATTGTAAATAATTCTTAAACAACAGAAAGAAAAAATCATCCATTTTCTTCGCGAATATATTTGATAAATTGATAAAAATTTAAAAAGCCAACAGTCAACGTTTATGTGGTTCTACTTAAATCTGCCTAAAAGGCATGTTTGCCACATATTTTTATGCTCAAATTAAAAGCAAATTTACCCGTATAAGTGGAAAATTTGCATAGATTCGATTCATTTTTTTACTTATATTTTGATTATTACTTTCAATATCGTTGAATAATTATTTATTTAAATATTTAAATAGCAAAAAAAATGTTTTTGCGAATAATTCTACTTGCAATTTTATGTTACTACGCATACAATGTTCTATGCTGCCGGGTAATTCATTTTTTCTTTTATTTATTGTATTATTTTACTTAATTTTACTTAATGTTTTATATTAGTAATAATAATTATTATTTTGTATTAGAATGTTAAAAAATTATTCAACTCAAAAGTGCGATTTGCATGCAAATTTTATTGATGAAATATTATTATATTAATAAAAAAGTTATGAAAACTATGAAATGAGCGAGAAAATCTTAATGAAAAGGGAACCATAAATATAGAGAAAGTTTAATAAACCAAAGTAGTGAAGAGAGAGAAATTAAAATGAAGGTTCTTCGCCCTGCATAACTCACTTTAGTACCATATCAAATTGCTGTCAAGTATTTAGTTTTTTTACTTCGTTTTATATTTATATTTATATAACAATATTTATCTTTTTTTTTCCTTCCACTTACACTATTGGTTGTTATATTATCTTCTCTACAAAACTGTAAGGATAAGATGCTTCCACTAAGCAGGATTCACAATTTGATTGAATCAATCTGAGAATTACAGATGCCACTTCTTAATCCATTGTTTACCAATCATTGTTTCGATTGGTTGCATTGAGACTTAATTGTAACAGTGGTACTTGATTGGATTTCCTTGTTTTTGACACCATCCATCACAAGGCTTATTCAATAGATATGCATCAATTCTTGCTAAATCAATCTAATCAACTAACTATCTAATCAACTTCTATTTTGTGAACAATTTATTAATGTAGATATGGAATTTGAACGAATGTAAAACTAGAATTAAAAATTATCCGCTCCGTAGGCACTTAGATATACTTTCAATTTGGACAATCAAAGGTGAACTGCTCATCAATGTTATGCAATAAAGTCATAAAATTACTGGCCTGCAACCAGATAGATGCGAATTTTTATTTTTTTAAGCACTTCTTACTTAAAGTCACTAAAAAATACTCTCCAATATATTATATTTTTATTCTTTAAGAAATTTTTATATGCTAATTAGTTCCTTTTTCATTATTTCCCAAGGAAAATTTGGTCCTTTAGATAAAGGCGAAAAAATTTAGAAATATACTTTAGAGGCAAATAAGTTAGGAATGAATTATCTCTTATTTCTTTAAATGGATAAATTCATTCCAATTATTTATCATAGCTAAGATTTTATTTATCATTTTGATTTATCATTATCACTATCACTGAATGATGTAATAAAAGTTCTTCAATGATTGATGTGGTAAATTAAATTAACGAATTATAATTTAATTTTAACTTATAATTTAATTTTGGCTTGAAATTTAATTTTATAAAGTGGCATAATAATTTTATTATTTTCAGTGGCAATCATTTTATTTAGCAATTTATTGAATATATGATTTTATACCTAAATTCTACATATATATATATATATAATATATTTAAATTTGAAATTTGCTTAATGCTGTAGAAACTATTTTAGGCGAATGATGGAGCTCGACCAATACTTGCAGAAGCAAGAATAGTTTCCATAAATAATTCAGGTGTATCAGGATTAGTCAGATTTAGGCAGGTGGGAATTTTTATAAACATTTTATTAATTGGAAAATCTACCCGTTTATTTCATTTTTGTTTTTATTTTAATTCTTTTTATTACCACTGGAATTTAAAATAAAACCGAGAATTTAAAAAAATAGAATTTTTTTTTGAAAATGCTAAATTATTTTTATGAATTTCTCATTTTTATTAAAAAATTATTACATTTTAGGAAAGAGAAGCGGCTCCGACAATAATTACGGGATTTGTAACTGGACTCACTCCAGGCGAACATGGTTTTCATATTCATTTAGTCGGCGATTTGAGCAGAAATTGTCTTGCTGCTGGCCCACATTATAATCCTTTCAGTGAGATGCATGGCAGCCCTTTTGTAGGGTTTTTTTCTTTATCGACCTATTTTACATTATTTATTTTAATTTCTAAGTAAAGAAAGGTAAACGCTGCCTTATGGCATCAACATTATAATCAAAATCGTGAAATTTTTATAAATTCTAAAAAGGAAATAATCAAAATAATTTTGGAAATTCTTGATTAATTGATTTTTTTCTTTCAGAATCCAATGCGGCATGCAGGAGATCTTGGCAATATTGTCGCGGGTCCAACTGGATTTGCTCCCGTTTCCATTACTGCGCCACTTGTTCAGGTATCCTTTAGTCAAGATTTCTTCTTCTTCTAACAGCTCTCACCATTATTGGCTGGTTCCAACGCTGCAAGGGTAAGACGCTTCCAAGTGGCGCGGTCTGATGCAATTGTCGACAGTAATGGAAGCCATTCCTTTTTCCATCGTCTAAGTCCATATATTGCTGGTCCACCTATACGTTCAAAATCTTTTCTCACCGTATCAGTCCAGGTCTTGATTGGCCCACTTCGCTTTTGACGCCAATCATCACACGATTTAGCAAATAACGAAATATGCGTCGACTCCTGTGGTAAACGACGGAGAACATGCCCTAACCAGCGAATGCGACGCAATGTAATAACATTATTAATGCAGGTGGTATTTGAATGAAGGTGGATACAATCATGTGCGATTTTATCTGCTCGATGGATGGAACATACCTTAGACATGAGTGGTCAAAGGCTAATAGCTTCTTAATATCTTCCACTTTCATTGACCATGTTTCACTGCCATATAGCAAGAATTGCAGCTATATAGATGCGGAAAGTATTTTCTTCTTTATGGTGATTTCGCGGTTCTGTTAAGGTTATGTCAACCGGAGTAAGGTAATTCTAGCTGTCGTAATCCGGGTTATGATTTCATCCTTTATCTGGCCATTTGTTCCTCAACCGGCAATAAATTAAAAATAGGTATTTTATCAGCATCTTGTATATAAGACGAAAATACTTTCGTTTTATTTACAGTGATTTTGAGTCCAATTCTCGCAGTTATAAACAAGGTTTTAGGTTTTATTTTTAGAACAAACCCTATAACGTGATAAATTCATAAATGCCATTTTGAGCGATTCATTTAGCGAAAATTGAAAGATAAATAGGTACATTTTCAGTATTTCTAATAGTAAGTGATTAATGCTTATCGTTTAAGCTCATTTCGCTGGCTATGGAAATTCTTTACTTAGAAATTAATCGCTTGACAGAAATGTAGCTAGATCGCATGTACCACGTGCATTATTTAACAGATTTATTCCTTTCAAGAGTAGGAACTGAATCTCTGCAGGATAATTTGGACCCATATTTACAGGATAATCTGGACCCATCTCAGTTGGTGTCCTTTGCTCCTCAGCATTGTATGGCCTTAAGCAACATGTGATAATATACTTCTATTAAATACTTTTTCCTATTTTTTTCTATTTCTATAAGAACACGATATTAAGGAAGCACAGAGGAAAGTATAATAATTAATTTTTTAAGGTATTTTTCTCAAACCCATTATGTCTGGATAAAATAATTTTATGTATAATACAAGAATATCGTGTCATTTGTATATTTCTTTAAAACTTTTGTTTTTTTGCCATGTTTTTTTTTTTTTTTATAGCTTCGAGGTCCAGTATCAGTTATTGGACGCACATTAGTTGTTCACATGAATCGTGATGATCTTGGATTGGGTACGGGAGCCGCACAGGCAGAGAGCAAATTGACTGGAAATGCTGGACGACGTATCGGTTGCGGTATTATTGTTGCTATTTAGCGATATTGCGAATTATTGTCGCCCATATTTAGTCGTTTATTCGCTTATCAGTCCTTTTTCAGAAATATACAATATTATTTTTTCTTATGAAATATTTGTGCAATTATATGTTATTATTATGTAATATATAAAAATAATATAATATTATAATGTATAACATACAATATAATATAATCAAAAATACATTAATAAATATATAAATATAAAATATATCTTAAAAGATTATTAATTATTTCGAAATTAGTCAAATTGTAACAAATTAATGAAATTATTTTGATAACTTAAAATCTTTTTTTGATCTCTCATGTCATTATTGCATTATTGGTCACAACAGCGGTGCTTCATTATAATGGTTGGGCTTCTCCAAGCCTCTCAGCCATATCTGAAAGCAAAGAAAATTCTTTTTCCCATCGTCAAGCCTTTTAAATATTCAAAACCTCTTTCGTCTATAGTTTTCTTTGTCTTTGTTGATGCTCATCTGCTCAACCATCCATCATTAGGATTAATAAGGAGGGAGAAGTGTATGGGTGGCAAAGAACATGATTTAATTAGCTCTATGAGGATGTTATCTTGTATTTGTATTTAAAGAAGGTGAACACAATTATATGAAATTTGTCTAACTGATGACGGAACACCTTGGTTATCAATGGCCAATTGCTGAAAATTTCCGATTTTTTCCACACCTTTAATGCAACCCCATATAACAGGGTGGTGTGCATTACAGTTAGATTTGGACATGAAAAGTTAGTCAGTTACAATTGCATCGTTCGCATATATATTTATATACAACTAGAAAAACTTTCTCATTTTATCACTCTTATCAATGTCCAGCTATATTATCAATTTGCTCGAAATCGTCGGACCACAATAGCCGATACCATCGGAAAAAAGTTTTGATGCGTGAGGCGAAAAATTAGGCGTTGACTGGAAGATATGATAAAAGTTTTTTCTCGATATCTATAGATTAGCGACCATTTTGCTCATAAGATTGAAATAAGGTGAATAAGGTGATTTTTTTTTTAAATTTAATTTTCTTTTAATTTTATTGTGAAAGTTCTTCAAAAGGAAAAAATTTATAAAACATGAATTATATAAACATGAATAAAAATTATAGCGGAATATTTTGAACAATTTGATGAATTGCCGAAATTTTCCTTGCGATAAAAATTTCTATAAAGTAAAGAATTTCTATAAAGTAAATTTCTAAAGTAAAGAACGGCTCATATAGTTTGGTGAAAATTGCCGGTATCTCAGAAAATTTAGAACGAATGAAATGTCAACAAACGATTTTTTAAAAGTTTCATGTAATCAAGAAATGTTTAAATTTTCAAAATTTTTAAAAAATAAATGCATTAAAGAACTTAAAAATAAAAAAATTAAATCCTAAAATTAGGTATAAAAGTGCTCTTTTATAAGGGGAGAGAGGGGCCTTATCGCGTAATTAATTTTTTATGAAATTAACGATATAATTTTTGCAGAAAAAAAACTGCGCAAAATATTACTGAAGGAAATTTAATACCCAAAAGTAGGTTTTATTCAACAATAAGGCCCCTCTTTCCCCTTATAAAAGATTCCAAAAAAAAAAATTTTTTTTTGATTTTATTCTGAAAATAGTAAAATTTCGGTGAATTTTTTTCGTCAGTTTTCATATTGGTAAAGGATAAATTAAAATATCAAAGAGATTTGGTTTTGCTTTGAATTATTTGAATTTATTTGAATGTTCGCTCTTCGTTCTCTTCGTTCATACAACTGATAAAGTAAAGCTTAAATTGAAAAATTTCACTCCATTAAGCGCAATAAAATTTCTTCACCTATAAAAAGAAAATTTTTACAATATAAAAAGTTTATAACTAAAAATAATTGTAAAAAAATGAAATAATCCGATTTTCACGGATTATTTGAACCTAAACTAAATTAAATTAAACTAAACTAATTAAATTAAAATTTAAAATTTTTTCTAGAATTTTTGGATTAATAAGAAAATTTATTTATTAAAAATTTATTGAAAACAATAATTGAAATTGAAATAGAAATATTCTTATTATTTTTTAGATTTTATTTTTTTATATTTTTTTATAAGAAATGGCGGAATAAATTGAACCAAAAAAAGTGGAAAAGTGGAAAAAATGAATAAAAAATGGAAAATAAAATACGATATAGGTGCTGTTTTGTTTGCCATGCGATATATATTTGTTTGAATAGTTTACAGCCAACAGATTTCAATTTTTTTCTATACAACAGTGAAGAAATATATTAGACGAATTGGTTCAGTGATTGCGAATCGAACTCTCAAACTTGGCTAATTATTCGTTTAGTTTAAGGATTTCAATTAAACATGCCTTAACAAGAAAGAAAATATTATTTTCTATCTAAAAGTATAAAATTAAAAGAATTTTTACGAATTATGGAATAAAAATTATAAAATTTATTAAAATTAACAATTAACAATTAATAAACGAAAAAAATTTAAAAAAATTTCGTTAATCGTTGAGACTCGACCGTACTAAAAACCAATTGTACTACGACAATGACAACTTATTTAGTAGATGCGACAAATTATTCAATAATATTTAATAAAAAATTGTGAGTTGATTCGCGATTTTATACATTGGCCTAAGGCTACAACTTCTCGGAACTACGCGATAATATGCATGCTATTTCTTTTATAAACACCAATTAATATAATTAACTGCTTTCTTCGGCTCACATTTCGAAGCTAACAGACCAGTTCGAGATAAAAGGAGAATTGGTGATTGGTGAGTTGCATCCATTTTGCAAGCCTTCTTCACACGGTACGTCTTTCAAAATTCTATCACCAAATAATTCACTGATGGAATTTCTTTCATACGAGTGGGCGAACCTAACTAAATGGGAGAAAAAATGTCTTTAAATAAGGAAAAGAGCTTTATTCATCATCATTTTTTTTTCCACTATTTACCATCGTTCTCATTTCTCATTTTACAGAAATTCCTAGAAAGAATTGTTGAATTGTTGAATCTAAAGTGCTACTCAACTCTTTTTTTATCTGCCCAACATTTATAATTCTGAAGACAACTTTTGTTTAAGTTATAATTTCGATAGTTGAAAATTGAAAAAAGTTGACTGTTCAATAATAAATGCGATTATCTGAATTCTTTACTAAGGGCCTTTTTATTTGAGTTTCTAGTTTAAGCATTAGCCTAAGCATTGTTTAGATAAATTTAGGCACAATAAAATTCATCATGGTTAAAGGAAACGAATGAAATTATTACATATTTTTTTGAAATTCCGTTCAAAAAATTCAAAATTTTAAGGTAATCGGTTGAAAAAAGACCTTAACGACTTTTACTATGGACGATTTTATTGAAAGAAATTGTGGCTACCATCTTTTATTATTATTATTATTATTATTGTTATTATTAGTAATATTAATAATGCTCATAAGTATTCATTTTACGAGTCTTTAAATTGCTCATGATTCATATAACTCAAAGATGAAAGAGGAATTCATATAACCTAGTTGAGAAGACTTGAAGGAATTTTTGAAATTTTGAAGTTTTGAACATCGTTTTTGAGGTTAGTTATCGAAAGATTTAGTTATTTCAGTCTATTCAAGACCAACAATTAGATATCACATAATTGAGACTACAATGTTCATTGGTAATATTTTTATTTTGGCGAAATATTGCCAATATTGAAATCTGCCACTTTATTCAATATTATATCTATTCATATGCAGGAGTAAGCCTAAGTCCAAAGGCAAATTTATTCAGTGTGACAAGCCAGCAGAACGAGTTTAACCAGTAATGATGAGGGCTCTTAAAAATTTTTATTTTAGCAAAGTAAGGCCATAATAAGATCTATCATTTTATTCAGTATTATAATACTTTTTAATGAAATAAAATAAAATAAAAAAGGAAGAGGAAGTATATAAAGGAAGTAGCTTATTACATAAATAAGAGATTATTGGAAAGAATATATTTTAAAAAAATAAAAATATTCTCTAATATTTATGGAGGATCGTTCGATCATCAAGGATACAACATGAGTGATTTTGGCGATGTATTTTTTGACTGATAAGAATTCTATTGTTAATATTTAAGACAAATGGCTACTTAATTAAAATTTTTTCAATTTTTTTCCATTTTCTACAAAAAATAATTTTTTTTTAAATCAATATTTCCCATAATTTATTCTTAATTTTAATTCATCACTGGGTTATTGTTTTTTATTTAGGCTCGTTTCGCTAGCTTGAAGAATTAAATAAACTTTGCCAGAAAATTACTTGGCATACAAGTAAATCACCAGTATCACCGAATTGATAAAATATATATAAATTGAAATATTCGATTTAACAAAAAAAAATTTGCAATAAAACGTTTATAATGATAATATAAACTTTTAAAAGTTCACTAAATTTCAAAAAAATTGTTTATTCTAAACAAATGAATGATACAACAGTTGTTTTCGATGGCATAAATCCTATAAATAAATACATTTTTGACTTTTTTTTTACGAAAGTATTTATTTTTCTACTTTCAAAATTGATTAAAAATAAAGCTTTTGTTGTTTTTTTTTTTTTTAAATATTCTTAAATATTGGTTTAAAAATCAAAAAAAAAAATAACTAAAATCTTCTGCTAACATCGTTGAATTTTTTATTTTGTAAAATAATTTGTTAACTTTTTTTTTTGATTGCAGCATCGTAATAAAGAAAATATTATTTGTATATTTGAACTTTATTTGAACTTTTTTCAATTTTTTTGATTGATTCATTTCAACTGAAATTTTTTTTTTCATTTGTATTCAGCAAATGCTTTTTGATACCTTAAATGTTGGTACCAAATGGATCTCCTCGCAGCATTGTTCAGTTTGGTTCATTCTACTGTCAGCGATGGTGAGATATTACCAAACTTCCGATGTCGTTCAGTGACTTTTTATTTTGGCGAAATATTGCCAATATTGAAATCTGCCATATTATTCAATATTATATCTATTCATCTGCAGGAGTAAACCTAAGTCCAAAGGCAAATTTATTCAGTGTGACAAGCCAGCAGAACGAGTTTAACCAGTGATTCTGGCGAAATTTTAATTGTTTATTTTAATAAAGAACGATTAAAAAAAGAATGCGAGACAAATGAATTGAATCCGATTATTCGTGCTAAAAAGCTATCTTTAAGACATTAGGACCTAAAATTAAGCGAAAAAATTTAAAGCTATGACCGAGTATAGCTCGTTACTTAGTCCAGTCTATACACTATAGATCTAAATGTGCTTTTTTTGATTAAACACAATTCTTCTTCTTCTAACCATTACTGGTTAGACTGGTTCATTCGGTTACAAAAGTAGGACGCTTCCAAGCGGCGCGATCTAATGATATCGTCGACAGTAAAAGAATCCATTCCTTTTTTCCATCGTCCATATATTGTTGGTGCGCCTATACGTTCAAAATTTTTTTTCACCGAATCAGTACAGGTCATGATTGGCTCACCTCACTTTTGACGCCAATCATCACACGATTTAGCAAATAACGAAATATGCGTCGACTCCTGTGGTAAACGACGGAGAACATGCCCTAACCAGCGAAGGCGACGCTCTATGATAATATTATTTATGCAAGTGGTATTTGAACGAAGATGGATGCGATCTTGTGATATTTTATACTCTTGACGCATCCGTAAAATATACCTTACACAAGAGAGGTCGAAGGCAGATAACTTCTTGATATCCTCCACTCTCATTGGCCATGTCTCAGAACCATACAGTAAGATCGAAGGGATCACGGCAATATAGATGCGGTTTTTATGGTGATTTCACGACGATTCCATAAAGGTTTCGTCAACCGGAAGAACGAAGAATCATTTCTAGCTGCCGTGATCCGAGTTGTAATATCATCTTTGCCTGTCCATTTGGTGTTAGAGTGGACCTAAGGTATTTGAAATCGAGCACTTCCTCAATGAACTGGCAATGAATTTACAAAAAGAGGCATTTTATCAGCTTCTTGCACATAAGACGAAAAGACTTCGTTTTATTTACATTGATCCTGAATCCGATTCTTGCTGTCATAATTGCCAGCAAAAAGGACTACATCATCAGCGCATTCAAGATCTACAATACGATGCTCTGGATTAATTTGGACACCTCTTGAGATTAAGCTTAATTATTCATACATATATCCTATATATGATAAGTTAAAAAGAAAAAAAATAAGCTTGCTAAATCTGGGTAAACACAGGAACGACTTTGAAGATTCAGGTGGATCAACGATATATGGATTTAAACGATGGAAAAAAGATATGGCTTCTATCTATCTTCTTCTATTACTTCTATTACTATGGCTTCTATTACTATCGACGATGGCATCAGACCGCGAAGTTTGGATAGGCTTTATCCTTGTAACCAGCCTAATCATTATTAATGAAAGCTATTGAAAAAAGAAATTCTATACTCCTCTTCGTGTTTATAATTTTCTCTGACTGTATGGATAGAGAACTTGATGGGATTTCTATGCTTTTGGCGTTATTGCAGGATAAACAGCGAGAAGTACAGAAATTTCTATGATATATTAGTATATGGCTTAGATTCTCCCAAAAGCAGATGAGAAATTAGACAAATACCAATAGCCCAATGGTTGAAAAAGGAACTAAAGAGGATATGGGAAGTGAGGGCCAAAATATTCCCAGTGGTAATTGGAGTACTAGAAACTGGCAAAGTTTTAAATCTACTTTATTTTACTACAATTTAAAAAATTTAAATTATATATAAAATCATATGGCAAGAACCTTCAATCAAAATTTCATTTTATTATCATTATTATTTATTTATATTTATATTATTTTATTATCAATTGTTATTTTTATCACAGAAAAATTAAAAACCATTATGCCAACATTAATAATTAATTATTTTTTATTATTTCATATATTTATCATTTATCATTAATTCTTTCAAGAATACGAAAATAGTTGAAATACACGCGAATTATATATTTTTTTTCATATTTTTTATCAATATTTATTTTCATTTAATAAAAATTTTTAGGCAATTCGAACTTAGAATGTAATTATTGGATTTTGCTTTTCATCGTTATATATCACCGAACGAGTGAGCATCCTTTGTCGATAAATCTGAATTATTTTTCGTTCGTTAATCAAGAGAATCGAGATGTTCACGTTTATAGATGTATTTTATAGGTAATTAATTTTTTGGTATAAGGAGGACTTATGGGAAAAATTTGAATACTTTTTCATATTTTCCATATATTTTTCCATATGTTTTTTTTTTCATATATTCAACTACAAACTACGAAATTTCGCGTATTAATTTTTGGTTTCTTATTTCGCATTTTCAATTTAGTTTAAAGTAAAATATTATGAGAATATTAGAATGAGAATTTAGTTTAAAGTAAAATATTATGAGAAAAATATAAAAAATCAAAATTCTGGTTAAAAGAAACTTACAAAAGCTTCGTCTTTATCGATACATTCATCGTTCAGCAATATATATATTGAGGTTCGCAAATACAATTCATGCAATCACTATTGAATGGATTATAACATCGAATTAATAGATGCGCATTTCTACCGCAAAAAAACCAACTCTCTACAGAGTTTGCGAGGAGAAAAATTACCTAAAAATTTTCGTTTACCGGCATTAAATTTCGTTTAGCAATTCGATTTAGAAATATTTTTTTTCAAAATTTCTCAAAATATTTACTAGAGGGAATATATTTTTCTCATATCAAATTTATCTTTAATCAATTTATCAATTCATCTTTTAACCATATTTTTTGAATCATTATTACTGCTATCAATCCAGTGAACTTATATTTTATTACTTATTGATAAAAATATTTACCATGTAAATTGAGAGCATAATAATAAGAAATTATTCACCAAAATTAATGTAGAAAATGAAATTTTATTTGCTAGAATGGTTTTTTATAGATGATTATATGCAAATTATTGGTTGAATGATAATCTTCAAATACTGATCGCCAACTTATCAATATTTTTTCAGTTTTATTATACGATTTAAAGCAATCCCATAGGTAGACAGCCGCTAAATCCTCTTAACACCATTTTAAATTCATTCTGCATTATTCATTCTGGACTTCAATCAATTTATCAAAAAATTGTAGTTGATCGGATGCATTCGGTTAAATCAGCTTGAAATAACGATAACAACGGATTAAACAAAATGATAAAATGTTATCGAAGGATAGTTGGAAATCGTTTGAAATTATTATTAAAAAATAATGAATTTTTCTTTTTCCAAATCAAACTTTATTTTAAATTAATGTTCCGTTGCAAATTTTGCCAATTTATCAGCTATATTCAACTTTTTTGCTATTCGCTTTTATTCTTGATTATATCAAAAAGTTAATACGATATTTAATATCATAATGCTTCTTTTGCTAAATAATTTCCAAAAAGAAAAAAATCATGTTACTCTTTCTGGAACTTATCATTAATTGTTTGAAGGAATGAAACTAAATTGATACTTATTAGTTATCAATACTTATCACCAAAGTAGTAGTAGTAGTAGTAATTACCATAAAGTAATACTTAACAGTTATCAAGGCACATCTTTTCGAAATTGTAGTTTCTGTCATTTTTTTTTTCGTTTGATTTTTAAAATATTCAAAATCATCTGGATAGAATTTTTTTCACAAAATCAGCGAAAATCTAAAATTTTAAATTCATTGATCATTGATCGGCTATTCCATAATTATATAAAAAGATTGTAATCAATACGACTAAATACTACCGCAAAAAAATCCATTTTTCCCGGCTAAACTTGGAATGCAATAGATAGATTATTTTTCATGTTAAAGAAACTTCCAGTAAAACAATCATAGAAATAAGTCATTAGGAAGACTAAGAAGATAATAAGGTGATAATTAGCGAGTAATATTTCAATAACCCCTCAAGAACATCGGAAAAAGATTATCAGGAACATCCAATAAAATAATCGAATTGAATTATTTTTAAAGTCAAAGTATAGAGAATTGTAAGGCATTTTCAATAGCTACAAGAGTTAGTTATCTTAATTTTGCCATAATTGCAAACTATAAATATGTATATGATCCATTTTTCTTAAAATTAGTAAACTGTGATTAAAATAGTGTGATTATAAAACAATATATGCACAATGATAGAAGACATTCTTTTCCATTGCCCAAGTCGGCATATTGCTGGTCCATCTATACGCGCAAAATCTTTTCTGATCGTATCAGTCCAAGTCTTGATTGGCTCACCTCATTTTTGACGTCATCCAACACACGTTTTAGCAAGTAACGAAATATACGTCAACTGCTCTGCTGGACGACGGAGAACGTGTTCTAACCAGCGAAGTCCTAACTCCATCTTATGTGAATACCGCAGGTTTAAAAAGAGCTTAATTATGGCATCTCCTATTATCTCGCATTGTCATAAATTTATTCAGTGGGAAGTATGCAAAAGTTCCGGAGAATTGGCTGATTCCCGGTAATACATCCTGTCACCTTTCTTACGAACTAGGAATGGGTTGCTTTGCTGCAATATATCTGGTATTATTTCCTTTTGCCATACCAGAAATATATTTGTTAAAGACATGTTGTGATATGAAAGAGTATATTTGTTGTGAAAGACGATGGGCAGCATTTGAAGAGTTCCAGTGCGCAGACTATCCTTATCATAAATTTATTCAGTGGGAAGTATGCAAAAGTTCTTTTCGGAGAATTGGCTGATTCCCGGTAATTGTTGCAATACATCCTATCACCTTTCTTACGAACTAGGAATAGAATTGCTTTTCTGCAATATATCTAGTATTATTTCCTTTTGCCATACCAGAAAGTACATTTGTTGAAGATGTGATATGAAAGACGATGGGCAGCATTTGAAGAGTTCCAGTGCGCAGACTATCCTTATCGGGATTAAGCCTATGGTTGCCAGAAATTACTTCCAAATAGCATATCGTGGTTAAGTTTGGTCTCAATGAATTTTTTCTTAAAGGGTGATCTTCAATAATCTTCAAAGACACGCCATTGGTATCCCGTACCATTTCACTTTTTTTAATATATTTTTATTTTATTCATTTTATTGTTAATTTTTTTTTTCTTTTTGTTGTTAGTTTTTTGATATAATATAAAGGTATGGTTCTGTTCTGTAGTAAATAATGATTTATCGTCGTTAATACCGTTGTTCTCATTATTAATTTGGTTTTCAAGTTAGTTTAAATACCCACGTTTCCATCCATTTATCCATCTTTCATTTCATTCAAAAGAAATTGATTAAAAGAATAAAATAATCGGTGGTAAACGGGAATCTTATTCCCACTGTTTTTCTTCTTTTTTTTCCAGATATCTGCGTACCTGTACAGAAATCGGATGCAACTCGGCAATTTCTACCTTCAGTATATTTTCCTTGAAGTTTCTTTTGGAATCCGCTCCACGTCTTCATAAAATTCGAAATTTCTTTTCACGAAATAATTTCCTTCTCAAATAAAACCATTATATTCTCCGTCCAGCTTTCTCCTTATTTATATCTCAATGATTGAACGATTGAATCCTCAAACGTCGGTAATTAAACCATTTATTCGAAGAATATGTAAAAACATAAAGAAGAAATCAAAATATTAACAAATCCTATAAACTAATGCGACTTCTGCGCCCGAATCGCAAGTCTATGGGTAAGGCAATCGCCAATGCAAGAAAAACGGCGGCGATGATTGCGACATCGACAAAACCTATCCTATTCAATATTTCTCAGGCTCAGACATTTTTCAGACTCCTGACCCGACCTATTTTCCATGCTTCCCATTCCCACCTACCATTGTCCGAAAAAAATGTCCAAAATGACCAAGATAGTCTCGTGGAGCTTATGTGCGTTCTTGTGATTGAGGGGAGATTCATGTTTATCTTCCATTCTTTCAAAATTAAAGATACCATTTCTTGTATCTCCCATTCATGAATCACTCTATTATTATTTTTAGTATCTTTTTCAACTTTTGCTCTTTAACTTTCTCAATATTCTTGCTGGAGAAGGAGGATGTAAGCAGTTTCGATCATAGATACCATTAAAAGGAATACTTAAAACTTTCGATTTGCGTGAAGCAGTAAAGTAATTTTCTTTGAACAGTTCGATTATTAGAAAAAGATTTTATTATCCGTTGTATTTTTATTTTCGATAAACCTGTAAAAATGGATTATCGTTTGAAAGAATTTGGTAATAGTACAATTATAAGATGAAATATTTAGCGAAAATGCTGTGGAAATGAATTGCAATTGCAAAAATCGCAAGGAGAATATAATATTTTAATTTCTTTAAAGAAAATTCTGAATTATTATTATTATTAAATTATTATAATTATTATTATTATTAAAATTCGATAAAATTTGAAATAAAATTATACAAGTTTTTTAGATTTTATAAGTATAATTTTAGATTTTTGACAATATTCTTTGCATTGAAAAATTCATGAAAAATAATTATAATTCAGTTGATAATAATAATAATTCAGAATTTAGATAAGAAGAAAAATCAGAAATCAGAAAAAATCAGAAAAATAAGATTATCACCCTAAAATATTTCCAAGTTTCTTAGGAGAACTACAAAAACGCTATGTCAACGGACCATGTAGGTTCTTGTTTGTCGTGTTTAAATCAATAATTATAAATCATAATTATAATTATAAGTTCTAATTATAATAATAATTATAAATTCTAACGTTCATCATAAAAAGATGTTCCAAGTGAAAAATTGCTTTTTTTTTCTGATTAAAATTGTTAAAAATTGTTTCAAAAAAATTAGCAGTATTTAGTCTTTGATATCGAAAAACTATTGACATTATTCGATTACCATTACTGGTTAAATTCGGCAATCAGCGAGTCCCTTGGCGATAGAAATACAGGTGAGTCGCCAGCATCACCTACAACAACCCACTGAACTACTATTCCATCCCCATTATGATAAATCCCAAGTGTGCCATTTTAATGCCTCTTCATAGTCATGTTCTTTGCCTTGCGAACGAGGCAACCTTACATTTGCTATAATTCGAATTATGAATCTGATAATTATAGATTTTAATCTTTTTAATAGATTCTCTTAGTGTCGAAGGTTAATTTTTTATTTATCAATTATTACCCTATTTTCAGCGATCGTTCTTCATTCTATTAGCCAATAAATTCTCTCGTTCTCATAAAATTTTTTTGGAGAAATCTGAAAATCTTTGACACGATGTTTTAGATTTTTTTTTCGATCAACATAAGAGTGCTTCACAAATAAGAAAAGAATTCGATGAAGAGTTTTAGCAGTTGGAGTCAGCAGATAATTTGGTATAATTAAGATGGATGCAAATACGCTAAAAATTTTGTCGCTAAGGAAGAGGCTGTAAGAGCCATCGTTTCAAGTAGTGGTTACTATCTCATTTTGCAGTTGCATTTCAATTCAATGGTTGCGCACGAGAGGATACTGAAATATTCTGGCGCATCAATTCATGCCAAAACCTTATCTGCATTGAATGCCGTAGTGATAGTAGGAAAAAGTCAAAAGAGTTTTTTTTTTTTAAATACTACCTCAACTGGCAAGATTTCTGCCAAATAATGGTGAGACAAGTGATGACACGACCGATGAACTAAAATATACATGCTGGCAATTTCAACATGAAGATTCTTAGCACTGATAGAGAAGCTAAGCCTGAAGAAGAGCCAAATTGTTCGATGAAAGTAAAATTTTCAAATTTTTCAAATTTTCAAACTAATCAAATCAAATTTTTTTAATATAGGTTGAAAGCAAAAAAAAGATAAATCTTAAAATTTCGAAAAGGTAACTATGAATTATTAAATGTGTTCTGCAAGTCAATTTTGCATGCTCATTCAACAATAATTTTCTAATTTCAGGAAAACTTTTTTAAAATTAGATTATTTTCTTATTTCCATTTATTGCCGATAAACATGCAAACCTTCCAGCATTTATCGTCTCACGCAACAATTACGCATGAAAATGACGAATAATTTCAAAAAAATATTTTTATTTCTTTTCTTTTTTTCTTAATTCTTTATAATAATAAAAATAATATTTTATAATAATAATAAACAATGTGTATAAACAATTTCTAATTTCTGATAACTCATCTTATAATAACAAACAATTTCCCATCATTGAATAAACTTTTAAATATAAATAAGAAAAGCTAATGAGTAAAATTCAGCTTTTTTTCTATTAATTGTTTAAATAATTGTTGGATGACTGATAATCGTTGATAATATTTTCTGAGTACCACTGTATAGCTAAAAAATAATGTTCTTCTAATAGAAAAAATCACTAATTCTGAATCGTTTAAATCGGTTGACTGCTAATATGCAAGCATTTTTTCGCAATTTATCATATCATTTGAAGATCGACAGATATTTGGATTTCATTTTTGAATCATTGTTGCTTCGATTTTAACTGAATGGGAACGCAGTTCAATCAAACAGGTTAATCGAATCAATCGAATTTATGTCCACTTCCAAAAAATAGGAATACTGGAAAATTTAAGTTCTTGGAGAGTATATCGATTTATTAATTTTTCGTAGAAAAAATAGAGAACAAGCAAATCGAGCAGACTGCCATGTAGTTTCGTCGTTATTTATCCATTTTAGATAATAATCGTGGAGTAATATAAATGAGTGGTCTTTCCTGAGTGTTCACCTATCATCTTTTTTATTTGCTTCCAATAATCATGATAATAAATTTTTTTAAGAAGAGTCTTCACCATTACTGGTTAAACTCGTTTCACTGGCTTGTCGCATTGGACAAATATGATAGAGAGTCTCTTGGCGATAGAAATACAAGTGAGTCGCCAGCATCACCCAGATTTTTGGTCAAGTTTATCCCTTTGGAGAATCGAGCCTCAGCACAGGCATTGAGCAACAACCCACTAAGCCATTTATCCCTATATAATAAAAAATACTGCACTGCAATTCTGTTTTTCCAAAAATATGAAAAATTTTTTAATATTTTAGAAATCATTCATTTTGAAAAAAACGACATGAAAAACTATAATGGAAAAAAGCCTGAAACTTCTAAAAGCTTTGTTAGTTTTGAAAGATCTTTTTTGTTTTAGCTAAAGAAGTTATCACATTTTTTTCAAAAATATTAATAACCATTAAAAATTCGAAAATTAGAACAAAAAATTTATAATGAAATGCTATTTAATGAAATTTAAGGCAAAAAGAAAAAATATAAAATTAAAAATTTTAATTAGCCTGAATTAATTAAAATTAATTAAAAATAACCTGTTAATATCTATTTCTCGACTAAAAAAAACAAGTTATTTCTTGAGGTAATTTTGCAAAATCACTGATAATTATTCTAGTGATAATCCATAGTTCAAAACAGTTTGATCACAGCAAAAAAAATTTTCATCAAAAATATACTCGAGAATTTATTCAAGGATTTCGTGGTCAACCAAATTTATAAAATCCAGAAGCACATTAAAAAGAATATTTATTTTTAGCATCTGTGCTCGCTGTTCAGGCCTGAAAAAATCCTCTATTAAATTATATTTCTCGTTTAAAAATTGAAATCCAAGCTTTCTTATCAAAATATACAAATATACAAAGCGTTCAGCCTCTTCAGCCTCTTTTATTCCTCCACATATCGTAAAACAATTTGACTCCAAAAATATTTTATACGCCGCCGCTCTCCCAATACCTTATAATTCACAAATTCAGCTGTACAACTTAGACTCATTCTCATATTATATATATATAAAATTTTGCATGGTTATGTCAAATTAGATTGTCCAAAATATAATTTTTGGTTAAATTTGAACCCAGCTAAATCTAATGGGCTAAAATTATTAAAGCCCTAAATGCAGTATTTTTTTATTAGCACGATTAATAACTAGAATAAGCACCATCATTACCTATTTTTAAAAAATATTAAATATTATCATCCATGATATTATGATATTATTTAAAAGCTTTATATTAAGCAGGAAGTTTGAAATCTTGATCATTCATTATTCGATTATCTAATATAAATATATTTAGTTTAAATTGGCCTAAATTGTAATTC